TTTATATTCTTTGGGTAAATACCCAGTAGTGGAATTACTGGATTATAGGGTAGTTCTATTTTTAGTTTTTTGAGGAACCTCCATACTGTTTTCCAGACTGGCTGCACCAGTTTGCGTTCCCACATATTTATGTATTTCTTAACCATTTAACATGTGTAAAACTCTGCTGCTATTTTTATTAGTTTCTTATTTTTTATGTATCACTGATGAAGTTTGAATTTTGCACCCCTTTCCCCATTTTTCCCACAAGCCATGTGGTTTTTCTTGTGCAATTTTTCATATATAGCACAGTGATTTATAGGAATACATAGGTTGTATAACAGTGGAACTGACTGTAATTCTTCAAAGCCTTTCTACTTTACTCTTTTCCTTATTGACTATACTGTCTTCTAAATACCTATATATACAATTTATAGTCAGTTTCTTTATTTTTATTTTTTTTTTTAATTTTTTTTTTCAACGTTTATTTATTTTTGGGACAGAGAGAGACAGAGCATGAACGGGGAAGGGGCAGAGAGAGAGGGAGACACAGCATCGGAAACAGGCTCCAGGCTCTGAGCCATCAGCCCAGAGCCTGACGCGGGGCTCGAACTCACGGACCGCGAGATCGTGACCTGGCTGAAGTCGGACGCTTAACCGACTGCGCCACCCAGGCGCCCCAGTTTCTTTTTTTTATATATATACATTTTTTAATGTTTATTTTTGAGAGAGAGAGACAGAGTGCAAGCAGGAGACGGGCAGAGAGAGAAGGAGACAGAGAATCTGAAGCAGGCTCCAGGCTCTGAGCTGTTAGCACAGAGCCTGACATGGGGCTCAAACCCCCAAACCATGAGATCATGACCTCAGCCGAAATTGGACACTCAACCCAGGTGCCCCTATAGTCAGAGTTTTTAGAACACTTAGTACTTACATGTATATTTTCTGATGCTGTTTGCTATTGAGTGCACCATTCTTGGTCTTATTTTCTATGCTGTTTGCTATTGAGTGCACCATTCTTGGTCTTATTTTCTAAATAGATTCTAAACTCTGTGAGGGAAGGTGCATGTCTTATGAGTTTATTATGGAATTTCCCCATAAACTCTACTATTCTTTATCTTTGTATCGTGGCATCATGGTGAGTATAGATCTATATACTGTTCAGTTAAACATATGGTTGACCTGTGAACACACAGGTTTGAACTGCATGGTTCCACTTATACATGATTTTTTTTTTTTTTAATTTTTTTTTTTTCAACGTTTATTTATTTTTGGGACAGAGAGAGACAGAGCATGAACGGGGGAGGGGCAGAGAGAGAGGGAGACACAGAATCGGAAACAGGCTCCAGGCTCTGAGCCATCAGCCCAGAGCCCGATGCGGGGCTCGAACTCACGGACTGCGAGATCGTGACCTGGCTGAAGTCGGACACTTAACCGACTGCGCCACCCAGGCGCCCCATGATTTTTTTTTAATATATAAATACAGTGCAGTACTGTAAATGTGTTTTCTTTCCTTACAGTTTTCTTAATATTTTTCTCTAGCTTATTTTAGGAATACAGTATATAATCCATTAACATACAAAATATGTTACTCGAACAGGCTGTTTGCAGTTAAGTTTTTGTGGAGTCAAAAATTACATGTGGATTTTTGACTGTACAGGGGTTTGGTCATCTGTACTTACTGATCTGAGAAGGATAAAGTTTCAGTCAGATTCTCAATGTGCCTAAATCATATTTTTATTTTAGTTTTAACACAGATTTTGAGAATCCGGATACATTTTGTTAGAACTAATACTGATTTTGTCATGTCTCTATTTTTTGCCTTTTTACTCTTCTTTAACTTGCCATTTCTTTCTCAGTCATTTTCTCTCCTTTTCTGAGCAGATCATAGGAAAGGGACATGTAAACTAAATTTCACTTAAAAAGTAATATTGACAAACATCAGAAGAGGACACCTTTTTAACCTTAGAGCTTTCTAAGTTTTCTTCCAGGGCATTTTTCCTAAAACACAGTTTATTTTCCTTGTACAGTAGATGTCATCTGGTATTCAGGCAGATTATATTACCATCCACATAGTTCCTGCATTTCGTATTGTTGTGATATCTTGCTTCGCTCAGATGTTTTCTTGAAAAGTCATGTGTGAACTAAATAATGGTTATTTGAAATATATTCAGTACATTTGGTGGGGAGAATAGGCTTGTTTGTTAAATAAACCAACTGCAGTATATTTCTCATAGGAAAGAATCTCATTGCAAAATATAGGTTGGAGCTAGTAATCATGGTAATCAATTAAAGCATTACTGTATTTATATGGGATATTTTTATTTTGCTTGCCTATTATGTGCTCTTAAATTTTTATTTAGAGTTACTTATTATTAATTTATTCCTTCAGTTGTTTTAAGTTTGATTACCCGTGGCCACCTACCCATCTCTCAGGTTTGTAGTATATATAAGTAGATGTTTCAGTTTATACATGTTTAAAAGATACCTATTCTGCCTCAACAGTAGTAGTCTTGGCTTCAGGTTAACGATTGAACTCATGAGACAAAATAGACTTCATTCAGCACTAAGTTTATTTTCCTTTAAGAAAGGATAATACCAAGGGTGCCTGGGTGGCTCAGTCAGTTTGGCAGCAAACTTTGGCTCATGTCATGATCTCACAGCTCCTAGGTTTGGGCTCCACGTTGAGCTGTGTGCTGACAGCTCAGAGCCTGGAGCCTGCTTCAAAATCTGTGTCTCCCTCTTTCTTTGCCCCTCCCCTGCTTGCACTCTGTCTCTCAAACTTTTCAGAAAATGAAAAGTTAAAAAGATACACCGGACAGGAAACAGAACAGTTTATACAGCAACAACATAGTGGAGATCTCATGACTTCCAGGCAGAGCTTGTGTATGTCCCAGGCATCTCACACTTGTTATTTTCATGATCCAGAGGAACATGACTGTGATGAAACCATTACCTGGTGTCCCTTCACCTTTTATACCTTGTACCCATACTCCAATGTGTTAGCATTCATTGGTACTGGAAAAATTATTTTGGCAGTGAACTGCAAGTCCTTGGTAAAGGACATAGTAATTTCAGACCGGTTGTCATTTATCTTGGAATTAGTACACTCCTATAAATTCTGAGTTAAGGGTTTCAAGAATGATATGGCACTTGTGCCTCAGGTGTTCCTGAGGCTAAAGGAAAAGTTATAAACCAGCAGTTAACCCTTTCAGTTAAGGTCTATAAACAACCAGTAGTCCAAAGATGTGTTTTCTTTGTCCTCTGATATTTTTTTATCATGGAAAATATTAACATATACAAAATGGTTGAAGTACTATAACCAAACAACAGTGTTCATTTACCCACCTTCAACAATTAAGTCATGGCCAACCTCATTTTACTTATATCCTGGTCATTTCTCCCTTTGTTATTTAAAAAAAAATTTTTTTTTTAATGTTTGTTTATTTTTGAGAGAGAGCATGTGTGTGCAAGCGAGCCAGTGAGGGGCATTGAGAGAGGGAAACAGAATCCGAAGCAGGCTCCAGGCTGTGAGCTGTCAGCACAGAACCTGATGCAAGGCTTGCACCCACAGACCGCGAGATCATGACCTGACCTGAAGTTGTGTGCTTAACTGACTGAGCCACCCACGAGCCCCTCCCTTTGGTACTTTAAAGCAAATTCTAGGCATAACATTTAATCAATAATTTTTTCATTATTTGATCCATAAAATTATTCTTTAAAAAAAATTGTGGTCATAGGTATACACATACACACGTACACCTATCTATATTTCTAAATATTCCTGACCAAATTTCTAATTATTTCATTAATGTTATTTTTTTTAATATTTGAGTTTGAATCCAAGTAAGGTTCAGACATGGGGGTTGTAAGATTCTTTTAATTTTGTTTTTAATAGATTCCCTCTACCATCTCCTTTATGTTTCCTTGAGATTTTTTGTTGTACAAGCTAGGTCATTTATCCTGTAGTGTTTCCCATTATTGCACACAATGGATTATACTGATTGCATCTTTGTTATGTAATGTTTTTTTATCCATTTCATATAACTTTGTAGTTAGAGGCAAATTCCTGCTTCATTTATTCTTTGGAAAACTTGTGATAAAGAGCATCTACTGTTTGTTTAGCCTGTGGCACAGTTTATATAAGGAAAAACAAGTAAATGCTTTATATTTTATTTACCAATATGAACTGATGGATTCTAATATGTTTGATGTGTTCCAGTTTATTATAGTTCTCCATATATTGATGTTGTCCCATCTTTGGCCTGATTTCACTTTAAGTCCACCGTGGTTTGAATTAGAATACCTTTAGAGGAGTCCAACTCTATTCGGCTTGTCTATATTTACCCAGTTCTTGTTGTAGCACACCTGGTTAACTTCACTTATTTATGTTAAGGTGCCTAGTCCTTAAAGCGTTGAGTTTGGGAATCCATTTCAATTCAAATAAAATTTCAATTTGAAATTACTTTTTGTAGAGACACCAAATCCTAGTTATTAACCATTGGTAAATGACTGCCCTCTATGCTAAGTCTGCTCTTCAACTAAGCTAAATTTCTTAATCATTAGAGGAATGCTCAGGCATTGAAACAGGCCAATGTCAGCAGAGTCATGTTTCTTATTTTCCACATTCGTGTGGAATATTTTTTTGTATGTGTTATTTCTCTTCTACAGTTCTACCTCTAATCTTGGTAATAAGATAAAAAGTAAAAAACCACAAGAAGATTAGAATCTTGGACTCTTAAATAATTCTATGCTTTTTAGAAACAATCCTTCAGATGTTTCCTAAAATTAGTGTTTTAGACCTACCTGTTATTTTTCCAGTTCCTTAGTGTAGTAGATCAACTTTGATCTGTGAATCCAGAGACCTGTATTCTAACCCTAAATCTTGACTCCTTTCCTGTACCCCTCAGTTCAGATAGCTGGATGAGCTAAGTGTTAAGTACTGGACTTAGTGAGGATCTGCAGCAAATCTAAATTTCTGTCTAAAAAGTGTTGACCAAAAACCTTTTTGTTTTTTATTAAAGCTAAGAAAGAAGAAAAGAAAAGACATAAGTCATCATCATCATCATCATCCTCATCTAGTGACTCAGATAGCTCAACTGATTCTCAGTCCTCTTCTGATTCTTCTGATTCAGAAAGTGCTTCTGAAGAGAAATCAAAAAAAAGAAAAAAGAAACATAGGAAAAATTCCCGAAAACACAAGAAAGAAAAGAAGAAGCGAAAGAAAAGCAAGAAAAGGTTTTAACTTTACTTTTATAATACAGGCTTTACATTCTTATTCCCTTCTGTTTGTAAGTAAATCTATTGGGATTTTGGATCGATTATTTGGCAATATGAAAATAGTGAGAAATACTCCATACCATGAAGTAGAAGACCATTCTTTAAAAATATTTATTACTTTTGAGAGAGAGAGAGAGCAAGCAGGGGAGGGTCAAAGAGAGAGGGAGACAAGAATCCGAAGGAGGCTCTGAGCTGTCAGCACAGAGCCCAACGTAGAGCTTGAACCCATGAGCTGCAAGATCATGACCTGAGCTAAAGTTTGGACGCTTAGCCGACTGAGCCACGCACGTGCCCCAAGTGTAAGACCATTTTGATTCTGTAGTCTATAGATTAAATTTAGGTACATTCATTTCCATTTTCAGTAAAACCATTCAATTCAGTTGTTTCTCTGAACTTAGTGAAATGATCTTTTGGGTTCATAGGTTTATGTTTTATAGTAGGAATAGAGGATTAGTGAGAATTGCAGGACACCGGTGATTATTGTCTTTATTGTTTGTAACAATCTGTCTTGCTTTTTTAGTCCTTTATTTCTTTTGTTGCTATGATAGCACAAGAGTAAAAGCAAATAATGTCAGTGCATTTACTTTCTTTTCTGTTTTGTCTGAAATAATATATGTTTGTACTAAAACATGTCTTAATATGTTTTGCTTTTAAAGCAATTAATTTCTTTACCTACATTTTTAACTTTTAAATTTATCAGAGTATAGTGCCAATGGAGTTCCATATTTTAGAACCATTTTATTGGAAAATACTTTCTGAGAATGTGATAATGGAAACAGTTGGTTTGGGTTTTGGGTTGGTTTATGAGAGGAATGAAGGAGGATTTTTTCCCTTTGTAATTGAATCTTTGCAGTTGGGGGCAGGATGGCATATGTATTGTGACTTCTTAAAAAGGAAAGAAATCCCAACAGTTGGAAATTTGGGATAAGTGCATAATAACCAAATGGAATTTGTTTTGTGTGTTTTCTGTTAAGCGCATCTAGCGAAAGTGAGACTGAAAATCTTGAAGCACAACCGCAGTCTACTGTCCGTCCAGAAGAGATCCCTCCTATACCTGAAAATCGATTCCTAATGAGAAAAAGTCCCCCTAAAGCGGATGAAAAAGAAAGGAAAAACAGAGAAAGGGAGAGAGAGAGAGAGTGGTATGTGAATGTGTATATCTTATAGAGTGCCCTGCACTCTTCATAATCGAACTTATTTTTAAGTCTTACTTTAAACAAGATTTAATTGGTGACCTTGTCCCAACATTGAAATATTTTTAATAGGATAATGCTAACAAAGGTCCTTTTTGCTAATAACTACATAGCTGATAAGATAAACTAACTTAATTCAAACAGATTTTGAGTAAAAAGTTACTTTTTAAAAAGTAAGCAGTGCAGATACCAAAAAGATGTGTACCAATTCCACTTCAAACCAATTCCATTTAAAACAAGCTTACGGTGTTATTTGAATATATTAAACTTTACTTTTAAAAAAGTAAGAACCTTTAATAGGGCAAAAAGGCTGTTTTCCATGCCTAATTTATAGTATTCTAGTAATGAAAATTGATACCATATAGAACTTCTTCGAAGATTTTTCTCCATAAATTCATGTAATTAGTATTAGTAGGCTTTTTGATTCTTTATAAATCATTTTAATAATTATGTACAAAAACAAAAAAGATTGAGACCTTTTTCTTATTTATGACTAGAAATTTGTTGTTATAAAAGTAATAAAATTCAGAGTATCTCCCCTATACTTTCACACTAGAGTAAAAATATAAAAATAAGTCTTAGTGTAAAAAAAAAAAAGTTTTAGTTGTGTGAAACTTGAGGTAATTTTGATGGATTGGATTGAGTTAATTTTTCCTCAAGTGTTAAGAAAGAATATTTTTAAGGAAATAAATATTGCTGAGAAAATGTTTGAACTACTTTACAATCAACTTTTCAAAACATAACTTATATGTGTATTGTTTATGCTAATTAAGTATTAACTCATTATTTTTTGAAAACAGTTTTCTCTTTTTGATGTAAACTTTGGTACTAAACCATGGTGTAAACGTTTTGTTAATTCACATCAGCTTGTGTCTGCTTACTTCTCATTAATTACTCTTCTCTGTAGTTCTTTTAACAGTGCTTAATGCTTAAGGGATTATAAGCTACTTTGGAATAAGATAGTTTTAAAATTGTTCTCTCAGTGGCATCCAACCAATGCTGAGCTGTATGAACTCTTGTGTTGATTTTCCTTAACACTGTCAAGTTTATTTCATCCTAAAAATGGTTATATAGCAGTGTTTCTCAGCACACAGCTGGCATTTGCGGGCAGAATAGTTAGTTCTTCATCCTCGTGCACTATAAGACTTTAGCATTCCTGACTCGTGGCTCTAAGTACCAGTAGCACTCTCTAGTCATTGACAGTTGAAAAATGCTTCCATACTTTTCCAGATACCTACTAGGAATTGATAACATTCCTGGTTGAGAACTACTGATTTTTAAGTTTTTAAATTAGTTTAGATCCATAAAGCCAAATTTTCTAGATTCATTGTTATAAAATTGTATGTTTTAATTTTTCCCTTGCTTCCTTCTAGTAATCCACCTAACTCCCAGCCTGCTTCATACCAGAGGCGACTTTTAGTTACTAGGTCTGGCAGGAAAATTAAAGGAAGAGGACCAAGGGTAGGTGATTCTTTTCCCAAAAATCTTGATAATATTGGCATTTATCATAATTTTCGAATGTTTCTTAAATACTGTTTTGTACATAAGTAACTAAAATTTAGAGTAGATATGCATATTCAATTATATATTCTCTTTTTATAGTAACTTCTTTATATTGGTATTTCTAAACTGAAAATGCATGGGATATTAATAGATTTTACATGTACACAGTGTAAAATGAAGTCAATGTTTTGTGCCCCCGTGTTACTTCCTGACCACTGTATTGCTAATCTTGTTAAAAATTCATAAAAATTAACCTGGTTCTTATATCTCATTCTCTTTCTCTTTACTGGATCCTCCCTATCAATTTAAATATCTTGTGCTTTCAAAACTTTTTAGAAACCGAGCTATACTTGGTTTATTATTTCTTCACTTCCTACTCATTTCCTGCTTCCTAAACTGTTTCAGTTTGTCTTCTACTGTTCCGTTGAAAATAGCACTTGCTATATGGTCAGCTACATGTCACAAAATCCAGCGAGTCCTTTCAGTCTTTGTCTTACTTAATCTCCCTCCTTGTAATACTCTTGCCCTTTGCTTCCATCGTATTTTCTTTCTGTCTCTGGCCAGTCTGTTTTGAATTTCCAATGCCAGTTCATACTTCAATAGCTAGCCTTTCATAGTGTAGTATCGTGGGTTCCAACTCTTTTCGTTGTGCACCTGCTCCTTGGTGGTCTCATCGCTCTCATGGCTTCAGTGGCTACCATATATTGATAATTCTCATTTGCTCTTCTGGTACCAGGGTTTATCTGACAGCTGGCCAGTTGCCTCACAAACACCTCAAACTCTGCATATGTAATCCTGAGCATAAACAGTTCCTCTTTAGGCGTAATTCTCCTTTAGGTTCGTGTTCCGGGTGACAGATACCACCTCCTGTGTAGTTACTTAAAGCCCAAGAATGATTTCATTTCTCTGCTGTCCATCACCAAATCCTGTCAGTTCAACCTTCTCAATACTTTGAAATCCATCTGTTTCTCTCAAGTTCTACTCCCACACCTTAATTTAGTTTACCTTTGTATATTCTCTGAACTGTAAGTGGCTTTCTAACTGTTCTCATGGCAGCTCCCAAACTTCTTTGTCTTAGGGTCTTGGACCCAAAGATTTTGTAATGTGGATTATATCTATCTATATTTACTGTTTTAGAAATTAAAACCAAGAACTATTAAAAATGTAGAAATGTATAAGCACACATTCCATTAGCAATGAAAGCAAAGATACTAAAATGTCGGGTAGTCTGAAAAACTCCCCTGTACGATAATGAAAGAACAAAAGTGAAAAAGGCAAGTAACATGATTCACTGATGAAAATAGTTTTGACTTCACAGATCCCCTGAGTCTTGGGATCCCTAGATCACATTTGGAGAATCACTGATAACAATTCTTTATCTAAACAGCATCCAGAATAGTCATTTAAAAATGAAAATCTGATTATATCACTCCTTTGCCATTGATCTCAGGGTAAATCTACAATTTTTACCATGGCCTATGAGACCTCACAAAATCTAGCCCTTGCTTACCTTATCAGTGCTCTCGAGTACTACTTTCCCTTACAGTTTTTATCTTTAGCCATACTGATCTATCTTGTGATCATTTCTAACAAATGCTATTTTTCCTGTCTCAGAACCTTCAAATATCATATTTTTCATGCTTCACATGTTCTTCCTTACCCATCCATTCTCACTTTTACTTCCTTTTCATTACCCTTGCCTTTGTAACTTCTCATACCTCATACATGTTAGTTTTCAGCTTTTTAAGTTATATTTAACTTTCCCTGTACCAAGCCAGATCTCTCTGTTACATATTCTGTGAGCACCTTGTGCTTCTTTTATACTGATTCTAATTATAGCTGCATTTATGCTTATTAGTATCTGTGATTATATATCTGTCTGTGGGTTTCCTAGCCTTGTAGAATACAACTTCTAAAAGACCAAAATCCAGATATTTCTTGGCTCACTAAAGTTTCCTCAATACATGGTAGAGCAGTTGGCCATTCTAAGAGCTGAGTAAATATTGGTGGAATAAATGAACATCAATGCATTTACTCAGTTTTTCTCATAATATGGGAAATGTTCGCTTTGACACATCAAGAATATATATTTCCAAATTGGAACTTGGCAACTTGTAAGGGTTCTACTTGTAAGGGTACTACTTGATAGTAGTATCACTTAAATAGGACAGTTCTACAGAGAGGACATAAGTGGCTAGAGTTTGTGTGGCTAATGGTTTTTATTGGGAATTTACAGTATGAGTGTTTAAAGTATTTTCACCTCACTGGTTTCATACCTGAAAATTAGGAAATTTTAGTTATTATAGAGGGTATAAGAAATACCAGACATTTTACTTGAACCTAGAAATGTATATGCTTCAGGTATTATTGCAGTTATTTTTTTTTTAATGTTATTTTTATATGTTATATATTTTTATATGTTAATTTTTTTCCCTTTTTATTTTCTTAAGCGTTACCGAACTCCTTCTAGATCCAGATCAAGGGATCGTTTCAGACGTAGTGAGACTCCTCCACATTGGAGGCAAGAGATGCAGAGAGCACAAAGAATGAGGGTATCAAGTGGTGAAAGATGGATCAAAGGGGATAAGTAAGATTTAACTATATTATTTCAAATGTAGTGACAAGTATTTTTTTACTCTTATGCATAAAGTTTTACTTATAGCCATTTCATTTATTTCTGAATATTTAAAGGAAAATAGAATACCATTTTAGCTAATAATGGACACCATCCCTTTTCTAATAAAACTTCCAAAAAACTTTTTTTCTCATTTTTAGGAGTGAATTAAATGAACTAAAAGAAAATCAAAGAAGCCCAGTTAGAGTAAAAGAGAAAAAAATAACTGATCACAGGCATGTGTCTGAGAGTCCAAACAGAAAAAATGAAAAGGAAAAGAAAGTTAAAGACCATAAATCTAACAGTAAGGAGAGAGACATCAGAAGAAATTCAGAAAAAGATGATAAATATAATAAAAACAAAGTGAAGAAACGGGCCAAATCTAAAAGTAGGAGTAAGAGCAAAGAGAAATCAAAGAGTAAAGAAAGAGACACAAAGCATAATAGACATGAAGAAAAGAGGATGAGGTCAAGGAGTAAAGAAAGGGATCATGAGATTGTTAAAGAAAAAGAAAAGTGTGATTCTAAAGGAAAAGATCAGGAAAGAAGTAGAAGTAAAGAGAAATCTAAACAGTTAGAATCAAAAAGTAATGAGCATGATCATAATAAAAGTAAGGAAAAAGATAGACGTCCACAGTCTAGGAGTAGAGAACGTGATGTCACTAAAGGCAAACACAGTTACAATAGTAGAACAAGAGACCGAAGCAGAAGTAGGGACAGGAGCAGAAGAGTGCGATCTAGAAGCCATGACCGAGATCGCAGCAGGAGCAAGGAGTACCATAGATACAGGGAGCAAGAGTACAGGAGAAGAGGAAGGTCCCGAAGCCGAGAGAGAAGAGCAACACCAGGAAGATCGAGAAGTAAAGATAGGAGGAGGCGGAGGAGAGATTCACGAAGTTCAGAGAGAGAAGAAAGTCAAAGCAGAAACAAAGAAAAATATAGAAACCAAGAAAGTAAAAGTTCACACAGAAAAGAAAATTCTGAGGGTGAGAAGAGAATGTACTCTAAAAATCGTGATCATAATAGCTCAAATAATAATAGGGAAAAAAAGGCTGATAGAGATCAAAGTCCATTCTCAAAAATAAAACACAGTAGTCAGGACAATGAATTAAAGTTCTCCACATTGAAAAATAAGGAGGATGAGAAGACCAGGTCCTCAGTGGAAAAAGAAAACCAAAAATCAAAGAGTCAAGAAAATGACCACATACATGATAAAAATAAAAAATTTGATCATGAATCAAGCCCTGGAACAGATGAAGATAAAAGTGGATGAGTGAGTTGTGTAAACTTCTTATTTCCATTCTGTCTCAAATTTTAAGTTTTAAAGACTTGCTGATGAATCTCCTTTATGTTGTTTCCCTCTTTTCATTGTTTTTGGGTTTTATGTTTGTCTTTTTTTTTTTTTTTTTTAATGTGGACTTTATTGAGTTGATCTTTTGATAATCTGCAACCTGGATAATTTGTACTGCTAAAGTTTTAATAAACTTGAAATGAGAAAAACATTTTGGTGTAATACTGTGTGCTGTGTTTAACTATTTCATGTATGCATTTTTGTGTTGCAACAATCAGCCAATAATAGCAAATACGCTTTTCTACATCCCAGTTTGTGTGATCAGCCAGTTCAAAACAAGGGTAACTGATTGTTGGAATACATTGTTACATAAGCTTGTGTTTCTCATGTTTAAAGTAACTTTAGAAGCCACTAGATAGAAGAAATCTTGTGTAGATTTTCTGACTGCATTTGTAATAGAGGCTTGCAGCAGCACAACAGCTTTTAATTACACAGAAAAGTAGGATCCTAATAACTTGAGATCTTAAGTCATCACTTTGGATTTTTTAGTGATTTGTGCTTTAAAATATTTATATTGCACTTCCTATGTTCTTTTTAATTTCATTCATAGCTTGATTCATACTAATATTTTTCCTACCAAGTTTTGTTTTACTGAACTGTCTACAAAAATAGTTGAGTACTTTTTTTCAGTTGATGTACTGATTGAGTTTGACTTGCTGTTATACAGCATTTGACAAGAACTTACCTTAGAAGATGAGATTGTAATTCTCAGTTGTATGTTGCTTTTGATCTGAAGAGATGAAACTTTTGCTTTGGGGAACACTGTTTTATTTTTATTATCATTACCCTTCTCTAAAATGAGGATACTTTACTCACTAAAATATACCACTTGTGCAGGTCTTTTAAGTTAGACAGATTCTAAAAATTGTTAGTATTGACATATTAACTTCCAAGATTTCTCTTTTGGCCACTGATCTATATAGAGTTGAGTGATAGCTCTGCATGGTTGTTGTTTTGGTTTTGTTTTTTTAACTTGAGCTGGCTTCTCTAAATCTCATAGCTGTGAGTTTCAAATGGCAAGAAAATGCATCTTTTCTATATATATGTATCACAATAGGGTATAGCATGTTTATGACTCTGGTTTCTTTCTATTCAGATGGCTTTATACCATTATTGTTAACATTATTTTAGCTTGGCATGTGTAACATTGCCACATAGAGTAGAGTAGAAAGTTGCAAAATTTGATAGCTTACAGAGTTAAACAATAAAGATACCCAAAGTCCATTTACAATTTTTGTGTGTTGTATATTGCTATTTTTGTGATGTGTGGCCTTTTTTCCTGTGTTTTCTCTTCTAAATAAAATATTGAACATCCAGCAAACACAAAACCTGCCTCATTTGAGAAGAAATTTCAGAATTCCAATTAATAGTAGCCTTTAGAGTGTTTTGTACTTTAATATTTGTCAATGTAGTGTCACCTCTTAACCAAGGTAGCTTCTTGGAAAACCCAGTAACTAACTCAGTGCTGTTTGTACTGAGCAAAACAGTGCTTAACATAATACTTTCCATATTGATTAATACAGTAATGACACATTTGGCATTGTGGTAGCTGTTTGTATAAAGAATAGTAGGTAATGATTATAAAATTGTTTGGACTATCTTGAAGCAAATTTCCACAGTGGAGTCCTTTTAAATTTATTTTCCTGATGATAATGGTAATAGATATTTATGATAATCTGGGGTGATTGATTCCTTAGAGACTTAGACCACAAACCCTACCTTAGTTAGGGATGATTTAATCTTGAGTTCCAAGCTATATAATCTGTTACATATTTTAAACTAGTTATCTTAAAATTCAGTAAGTTGCATTTTTAAAATTTGTTATAAACTATTTGAGCTTCAAGAAAGGTGGTGCTATTTAAGAAAGGATTTCTAATAACAACAATAAACCCATGCTAAGTAAAAATACTTAATGTTGTCTGATTCCAGAGCTTTATCTACTAAAAATTACAGACCAGTAACCATAAGGGGAAGAATTCAAATTTCTGAAAGTAATATTCTCCTGATTATCAAAAGAGCAACTCTGTGCTAAGATCGATAGACGTTTAAAAACTGTTTTTACAGTAGAATAGATAACGGTAAAGAAATTGAAATGAGAGATGACAATCAGATTTTATTTTCCGAATATAAAAAATATTTAGAAAATAATTAAACAGCATTAACTGTACCTCAAGTCTGCCTTTGCATCTGAATAACACATAGCTCAAACAGTCCTTTCATTACATTTTTAATAGTTGTGGCACCTTTAGCTTTTACTTTGAATATACTCCTTCCTGAAAGCCGGCTCTTTCTTTCCTGTCAGATTGATTTTATAGTTATGTCTGAGCTTATGATTTACCTCCAACTATCTTTAACTTCATATTCGCTAAAGATATTTAATTGGTTTATTTTATTGTTTGGCGATATCTGAGAATTGTTTTTATGATTATATCATTCTATTTTGGGTTAACCATCTGCCACAGAAATTGACACTACAGAGAGATTAATGTTAATGTAAAGAATCTACTGGGTTGCATTAAAATATTTTTAAATTACAGTTAATGAGTTCATAGAGTATTGTACGTTCTAATAGAATTTCTTAAAGCCTTCACAGAAATTTCAAAAAATTTGCTAAATCTGTCTTTGCACAAGTGTGATACTGATTCATATTGGCTTTGCTGAATGGCCTTTGATTCTTGTACCCAGTGAAAGATATTAAACTGAAAAGTAAATATTTCTTAATATTATGGACAGGAACACATTGGGTTTCCAGTATTTTGAGTAGTGATATTAATGGACAATTCTGATTTGTTTTCAAGTTGGTATATGGAACAAGTTTTTTTTCTTTTTTCCTTTTTTAATTTTTTTAGTAGCTCATTGTGCTTTACTCCAGGTGGCAGGGTTTTTTCATCACACTTTGAACCTTTTATAGTAAATTTCTACAGAAACTTGTTCCCTTTACCTTCACTGGAAGGTACTTTAAATATATACCATATACAGTTGGTTGTTATAAAGAAACATAAAATGGGTATTTTTCTGTCTCCTTTTGGTCATGTGTACTGTAATTATTCAATTTAGTATTCATACATTTACAGTTGAATAAACTCTCCAAGGATTGTAGATTTATAACCTTATTGCGAAAAGATATGTTTTGTTACAAATACTTGTTTTAAAAAGTAATAAACTCCAGGAAGTACTGCATTGGCTGACACCTGCCCATAGTGGGTTTCCCAACTGCCTTGAAAGGATTCAGACAAATGCAAATTCTGGCCTGTGGTGTGACACAAGATGTAAATACTGAAAAATCACATAAATTAAAAACCAGCAGGGTTGGAGAAGGGAGTTGTTGAGGGGTGTTGTTTTTAGGTGGAGGAAGTGGTGGGATTAATTTGTGTTTCTGCTTTTTTTTTTTTTAAAGCAAATTCCTGTGTTACCAAAAGCCTATGCTGTATATTTTGTTTCTCTTTTGTGTGTTTCTAGTACTTTGAAGGATTGATAAACAAATTGGGTATTTGTATGTGGAGATGTTAAAAGTTGTGGCTGCTCTCTTTGTGGAAGGGAAAAACTTAAATGAAGTTAATGCACTTCTTTTCCTAGCTCAGAAGTCACTGTGATGTATATTTTTTTAATGAAATTTAGGAATAAAGCTGTTGTCACATTGTATAATTAGTTTCAAAATGCTGCTTCTCATCATTAGTCTAGTAACTGTTAAAACTGTTTTCTGCAAACTGCATTTTACAGAATTTAAACTCTGAAACTATCAACTTTTATAGTTAAACATTGTATTAAATAAACTATAACAGTTTGTTTTGTATTTTTAAAATTACTGTTGTATTAGTTATTCAACCTTTATTTTTATTAAAAGTAAATAATGAAGATAAATCAACTAAAAAATACTTTTATTTTACCCATGGGGATATAGAATTTGTATTAGGAAAAACTGAGCAAAGAGTTTCACAATACTGAACTTCTTTAAGAATTTAATCAGCAGTGATGACTTCCAGAAGGTTTGGAGATAAATTCTAGTGTAAATGTTCAATCATAATGCTTCAGATTGCAATGTGTCTTTTGCCTCAGCAAACTTAAGGTTAGATTTGAAATTTGTATTACTATCTACTGGAATGCTACCATTTGCTTTTTAATTCCTCCAAATTTCTCAGCATTGGGAACACTGTATTATATCCTGTGCCTGCCAGTTTTAATATAACACTTAACATTGTAAAGCCATATAGATGTTAATTGACTCGTAAAACAAATTGTCTAGTTTTTGGTTTCTTGTTTAGTTTCATTTTTATTTAAATTAGATATATTTAGGGAAAATGCACCAACTTGAAAGTCACTGAAATATATGGTTAGATAAAAATGTTCTGACCATTCAGTGGTTTGTATGTGTTAACAGGTGATATTAAATTCTCAAATTCTGGAGTGTTTTTAAATGCTTTATTTAGCCAGGAGAATATGTAAAAATGTGAGTGCTTCATATGGACTGTGTAAATTAATTGTGTATTAAAATACTTTTAGTATCAATTTGCTTTTCCTATTTTCATTGCTCTCTAGGTTTCCTTCTTAAACATATTTCCCAACCTAATACTGTATTTCCTTTTTATTTTTAAGCACTGATTCATAGTTTTTATACCTCCTACCCCCATACCCAAATTTCTTAGCCCCACATTTTAGCTATGGATTTCCTTTTTTTTTTTTTTAAGTTTATTTATTTTGAGAGAGAGAGAGAGAATATGAGTGTGGGAGGGGCGGAGAGAGAGGGTGAGAAAGAATCCCAAGCAGGCTCCATGCTGTCAGTGCAAAGACCAATGCAGGGCTAAATCCCACAAACCTTGAGATCATGACTTGAGCGGAAATCAAGAGTTGGATGCTTAACTGAGCCACCCAGGCTCCCCTAGCTATGGATTTATCAAATTGGCAGGTTACAACAGTTGTGTTTCCACTGCTTAGAGTGCTTTACAACTCAATTATTTTCACTTAGTTGTTTTGTGATTAATTTTAAAAGTTTGCATAGCGCTTTTGTTTTTAATGTGCTTAACTCTAGTAGAAAGCCCAGCCCAATTGAAAGTAAAACAATCGGGGTGCCTGGGTGGTTCAGTCGGTTGAGCGTCCGACTTCAGCTCAGGTCATGATCTCGCGGTCCGTGAGTTTGAGCCCCGCGTCAGGCTCTGTGCTGGCAGCTCGGAGCCTGGAGCCTGTTTCAGATTCTGTGTCTCCCTCTCTCTCTGACCCTCCCCCATTCATGCTCTGTCTCTCCCTCTCTCAAAAATAAATAAATGTTAAAAAAAATTTTAAAAAAATAATAAAACAAACTGTATATATAAGGAAAAAAACTAGTAATGTCTTTGGTGTTGTGTTCTTCACTCAAGTAAGTTGATTATAAAACACTTATGAAATTAGCCATTTTGTAGAAACATGTTCTCTTTTATAATGTGAAGTGAGTTTCATCCAAAACTAATAATCACCCCTAAATAACGTACAGTACTCTCTAATACGGAATTAAAAAAAAAAAAAAGATACATGGCAGAGGTTTCCAGACTATTAGTTCATTGGGCCTTAGCATCTGGGTAATTTTAACGTGGTGGCAACCCTAGGCCAAAAGAAATACTAATTTAGTATCCACGTGAAAAAGGAAAATCATTTGTATTTCACTCAAGCACAGTTACCGATAGGATGTGTGAAACATTCTACAATTCAAGACTTCCAGTCAGATTGGATGGCATCATCCTCACAGTCACCTGTGTATCAAATTGCTCATAATATGTTAATAACTGCTCATAAGTAGTTAATACTACTTAAAGAAGAATTATGTCAGGTAACTTGAAAACAGTAATTTGCACATGTCTAGCAAGATACTCTATAAAATAAACCACAAAGAAATAAAACTCCATAATCATGGTGTTAGTAATAACGGTAGTGTTTTTTGAAACTAAAAATTATGTATTGAAGCATAAATACATAAATTTCTGCTGAAGAGAAAAATATTTCCAATGGAATATAATTCAACTATAAAAAAGGAACAAAGTACTGATAATGGTACAACATGGACAAAACCTGAAAATAGCTAAATGAAATAGGCTGGACACAAAAGACCACAATGTGATTCCATTTATATAAAATATCCCAAAATAGGCAAATCCATAGAGACCAACCAGATCAGTGGTTGCCAGAAGCTAGGGAGAAGGAGAGGGAATGGGAAGTGACTGCTTACTTATAGATTTTGCAGTTGGAGCAATGAAATAATTGTCCTGGAACTAGATAATGGTGATGATTACACAATATTATGAATATACTTAATGCCCCTGAGTACATATTTTTTAAAGGCTAAAATTACACATGTTGTGTGTATTATCAAAGGGATTTGGATTAAACTTTGGCAGTTAATTAGACATAATTGCACTTAGATGAGTAGCTTTATTAACAAATCATAAGCATAAAATTCATTTATTTGTAGCTCATATTAGTTACACCTTAATATTCTCAATCAAAAATAAACCTTTTTCTACCATGTAAAACCTAGCCTTCCCTTAGACTTTTGAAAATTATATTTTGGTCCCTGAGAGTTACAAAAAGGGAGCTGGACTCCAGTGACATCATTTGCCTGATAACTGGGTCTTATTCCACCTCTGTCCACAAAAACAGGTCCATGGCCACCTCCATGTCCTTCCTGTACAGCTTTTACAAGAGGATAAATATATTTATTTGATTCCGACTCAAGTTCAATTACTTCTCTGGCATAATCCTGAAATTCCTTCTCCTTTTCAGCCATAAGAGCTTCAGTAAGTCTGCAATGCTCTAATTCTGCTTGTTTTTCTTGCTTTGTATTAAATTTATTTTTGGCCTATAAAGAAAGAAAATGCAATATCATATTAGTGCAATTTTCTAAATAAACATAGCATTTGAAGTTGTATATATACTTTTTTTCGAAATTCATTGATACATGACAAGTTCTGACTTCACAACTACACCTGACTTTGAACAACATGGGGGTTAGGGACACCAACTCCTGGCACAGTGAAGAATTCATGTATAAATTTGACTCCCCAAAATTTTACTAATAACTTACTGTTGATCAGAAGCCTAACTGATAATATAAAGTCAACACGTCATATGCATATATGTATTCAATGCTGCATTCTTAATACTTTTTTCTTAATTTTTATTTTTTTTATTTTTTAATTTTTTTTCCTTTTTCTTAATTTTTAAAAAAATTTCTATGTGGTTCATCTGCAAGTTTTTTCAAATGGTAGCAAATCTCAAAAAAAAAATCATGTATTTACTGAAAAAAATCCATGTATAAGTGGACCCCCACAGTGCAAACCTGTGTTGTTCAGGGGGCACTGGTATATACTCTATAATTTATTTCAGAAACTCCCATGCTTCTCACAGTAGTATGCTCAAAGTAGTGGCTCAGTGAAAATAGCCTTATGCAATACCATATCTTTAAGCAAATAATATAGCAAAATAGTTAAAAGCATGAGCTTTAGGTAAAAATCAACTGAGGTTAGAATGCTGTTTCTACCGTTTAGAAAATGTACTTTGGCAGGTGTAGAAGACCTACCAATCACTGTCCCTGACCTATCCACTATTTTTTTTTTTTTTTAATAATCTCTACACGCAACATAGGGCTCAAACTCACAGCCCTGAGATCAAGAGTCACATGTTCTTCCAACAGAGCCAGCCAGCCACTCCTCCTCCCTCACCCCCCCCACCATCCACTATTCTGAAGGAACTCCCTCAAACCCACTGTCCTAAATCAGTCCGATATACCATGTAATCCAGCCACATAAGATTAAATCAGCAGTGAATATCTGAACTAAATTAAAACAATTACATGTTGTTTTCCCAGGAATTTGAAGCTGGAATGAGTGGCATTTATCAATGTAGGTTGATTGATCTGGAACTGGGTGGAGTAAGTACTCTCAGCAATTTACCAAAAGTCAATTTATCAACATCTCATTTTTTTTTCTTTCAACTCATATTTGCAAAAGCATTGTTCTTTTCACTGTTTATATTTTTAAAAAAAAATTTTTAACGTTTATTTATTTTTGAGACAGAGAGAGACAGAGCATGAACGGGGGAGGGGCAGAGGGAGAGGGAGACACATAATCAGAAGCAGGCTCCAGGCTCTGAGCCATCAGCCCACAGCCCGACGCGGGGCTCGAACCCATGCACCGCGAGATCGTGACCTGAGCTGAAGTCGGACGCTTAACCGACTGAGCCACCCAGGCGCCCCTCACTGTTTATATTTTAATGAAGTCTGAAAATGTTTTGTCTTAGCATTTTAAGAAATGCTGAGCTTGTCAAACGTTTTGTGATTTTTGTCTACTTATAGATATATTTAATATTCATGAAAATATTTTTCTAAATCAGTAACCAATACTTAAGTATAAAATAGTAGCCCAAATGTGATATCCACCATAAATTGAAATTTATAAGGAAATAGAGCAACCATAACAATATGAAATACCAAATTTTTATTAGTCCTACAATTCGAAATTAAGTCTTCTATGTTTAAAAAAAAGGCTTTATGTGCTATTTGTTGAATTGGTGATACAATATACAATATCAAAAGTTTGAAAAGGCAGAAAATGATGTTCAAAAAGATTAAGAAACAAAAGCACAAAAACACTCTCATAAAAGGTAAAATGCTATAATTTGGGAACTTGCAGGGAAATTAGGATATGTTCGTTTGGCAGCAATTTGTAGAAAGACATTAAGGAAGTACAGAAAGGAAGTGACAATGGAAGTGAAGGATTACCATAATGGATCATAAGATGCCTCAATTTATTTTTTATTTTTTATTTTTTTTCAACGTTTATTTATTTTTGGGACAGAGAGAGACAGAGCATGAACGGGGGAGGGGCAGAGAGAGAGGAAGACACAGAATCGGAAACAGGCTCCAGGCTCTGAGCCATCAGCCCAGAGCCCGACGCGGGGCTCGAACTCACGGACCGCGAGATCGTGACCTGGCTGAAGTCGGACGCTTAACCGACTGCGCCACCCAGGCGCCCCTGATGCCTCAATTTTGATATGCATTAAGCATAAATAGATTTATAAAGAAACTTCAAAAATATTGTTTTACAATCCTAAAAATTATAACAGATGGGGCTAAAGTAATAAGCATCTTTAGAGGATGCTAGAGAACTAATTATTTTGAATACTGGAAAATAAAGGGAAATTATCAAGCATTTATCCTGTCTTTAAAAAATGTACCTGAGGGATGCCAAATTGTTGATCCTGAAAAGTTCTTTGATGACTTGAGCATATGAGTATGAAGAAATGAGAGAATATCAATGTCTTGCCACCTCATGAACTAAGAGATCAAGCAATGATCATCAAAGGCTGTTCATGTCACAGAAAATGACAACAGTCATTAAGTGCCTTCTGATGGAATTAACACCACCTAAGAATTTTCACCAAAAGATTTGAACCTGAATCTGACCCAAACTAAATTGTATCTGAAATGCAGGGAACATAATAAACTACATCACAGGGATTCAACCATAAAAATCCAGACTGTAGTAATTCCAAAAGACAAGAAACTCTGTCAACTAGTAAAACGCCCCAACTAATAAATTGCAAGACAAACACAATAAAGACAAAAAGGCAGAACTTAAGACAAAAAAGAGAGGATAGGGGTGGAGGAGGAGTGTTAGATAAAAGAGACTTAAAAGACATATCAACCACATAGAATATACAGACCTTATTTGATCCTGATTAAAACAACAAACTAAGGGGCACCTGGCTGGCTCAGTTGGTAGAGCATGCGACTCTTGGTCTCAGGGTTGTGAATTTAAACCTCACGTGGGGTGTAGAGGAGCATACTTAAAAAAAAATTAAACAAAACCAACAAACTAAAAAATATGAGACAATTTGAAGGAAATTTAAACACTGAATATTAATTGATTTAGACATGATAATAAAATTATGATTGTGTAAATTTATAGAGTCCCTGAGTTTTAGAGATACATACTGAAATGTATGTTGATGAAATGATATCTGGGATTTGCTTCAAAATAATTGGGCAGATCCTACTTCTGGCAATGGCTACATGAGGAAGTTAGCCATTTCGCCTCCACAAAAAACAAACTTATTATTAAAAATTATTAAAATCCCCATTTCAGAGCACTGTTAAGTGACAATGTATAGGCAACTACTTGACAAATGTGTTTTCATGAAAAACTGCTACTAAATCAGGTAAGAATCGCAAGTTTATGGCATTCTTGTCTGGGGGCCATTGCTATCTCTTCAGCTCAGGTGGTGAAAACTTGCAGGTTTGCTGGACAATGATGGCAGATTTCATTTGGGTTGAGTAGCAAAGCAGCTAGAAATTTAAGGATGAGTTTCTGGAAGTGAGATGGGTAGAGAAGGACTGAAATAATAAACTCTATGAACATCCTTGACTAATTGGTAAACTACACATTCACACAGGAGACCCCAGTGAGCTTAGCAAAGATTAAAAGCCAGGGGAAACTGTGAATTTGCTGTTTTTAGAAATAACATCCTCAACCCATACACAACTTATATAGCAGGAGTACAGCATTACTGGCTTAACGTAACTGAACTGAACTCCACCCACATTATTGGTTGACTATCAAACTGTCAATCTGCTGAAAGCCAAAAATAAAGAGAAAATTTTGAAACCAGCAAGAGAAAAATGATATATCACATTTAGGGGACCAACAATATGATTAATGGTAGGTTTCTAATTATAAACAATGAAGGCCAGAAGATATTGGAACAATATATTCAAAGGGCTGGGGGAAAATGATATCCAGTAATTTTATACCCAATGAAATGAAAACAAAGTTATTTCCATAAATACATAAACTGAAATGGTTTATTGCTAACCCATCTATGCTGAATAGAACTGGCCAATAAACATGAAAAGATGCTCAACATCACTAATCATTAGGGAAATGCAAATGAGAACCACAAGTGAAATACCACTTCAAACCTATTTCAATGGCTATTATAAACAACAACAAAACCAACAAACCCAGAACACAACAAATGTTGAGAATTGGAGAAATTAGAACCCTTGAATATTGATGGTGGGAATTGTTAAACGGTTCACCTTTATAGAAAACAGAATGGTGGTTCTTTAAAAAGTTAAACCTAGAATTATCATATGATCCAGGAATTCTATTTCTGTGTATATAGACAAAATAATTAAAAGCAGGACTCAACAGGTATTTGTATACCACAGAAGCATTATACACAATAGCCAAAAGATGGATACAACCCAAATGTCCACTGATGGATGTATGTATAAAGAAAATGTACATACAATGGAATATTATCCATGGATGAATCTTGAAGGCATTATGCTAAGTAAAATAATACAGATACAAAAGGGCAAATATTGCATGATTCCACTAATATGAGGTACCTGAAATATTCAAACTCAGAGACAGAAAGTAGAATAGTGGTTACCAGGGACTGGGAGGAAGGGGGAATGAAAAGTTACTGTTTAATGGTATAGAGTTTCAGCATAGAATGATGAAAAAGTTATGGAGATGGATAATGATGATAGTAAATGCACTTGATGGCCCTGAACTATACACTGAAAAATGGATAAAATAGCAAATTTTATGTATATTCTACCATATTAAAAAAATGTTAAAACCCAATGATAAGAAAACAAACAATCCAGGGGCACCTGGGTGGCTCAGTCGGTTAAACGTCTGACTCTTGGTTTTGACTCGGGTCATGATCTCACAGTTTGTGAGTTTGAGCCCCACATCAGGCTCTGTACTGACAGTGCTGGGTCTGCTTAGGATTCCCTCTCCCTCTCTCTGCCCCTCCCTTGCTCAGGCTCTCACTCTCTCTCAAAAATAAGTAAACTTTAAAGAAAAACAAAAAAAGAAAACCCAATTGAATAATACACAAAAGATTTTAATAGACACTTCACAAAAGAAGGCACACAAATGGCTATGAAGGATGTATAAAGACCTTCAAAATCTTAGTCACTAGGGAAATGCAAAACAAAACCATGAGATATCACTACACTATAAGTAGTTAAAATTAAAGGATAATGATACTAAGTGTTGATGAGGATGTGGAACAACTTATCCTCGCATATGTTGCTGGTAGGAATGGAAAATGGTATAGCCATTTTGTAAAACAGTTTAAGTCGTAAATGATTGGATGCCAGGTCCTCTACACATATTCTAAAATCTCTGGTACCCCTATTCACCCCAACTCTGAAATCTATGAGATCTCAGTCAACATAATCTCTGGGTTACAGTTATAAAGAGGGGAAAAACTAAAAGAAGATAAGCATTATGACCTGCCATATGCATTTGCATTTTCTTTAATATTTACTAAAGCACAATAGACACTGAAGAAAAATAGTTGTGCAAAAGACATAAACTTAGTATGGGAACTTCAGTACAGATAAAAACAGAAACTAACTCTTCACATTTTTTATATATTTTATTGTGTCATAATCATAATGATCACCTGATCTTATTTGATAAAATAAACCACCTGGGAAACAGAAAACTAGCAAGAACTCTACATTACATATTTATTGCTAAGATAAGTATAAACATTTAAGAATAATTACCATTTGCTGAATATGAGCATCTCGAACTTTTTGATGTTCCTTATCAGCTTTGCGTTTTTTCTCCTTTTCATGCTCCTGGAAAATCTGATCTGCTTTCATGATAGCCAGCAATTGTTTTTTAGCCTCTAGTTTTCTCTGCCTTTCTTCTTCCTCTTTATTTTTCATCTAGATGTTAAAAGGTAAAGGAAAAAAAAAAGTTTTTATCAACCAGTTCTCTTTAATAAAGCACAGAGTTAGAAAGCTCCAAGCAGAAAGCCAGCCAGGAGCAACGCAAGAGTGGAAAATTTACATGCACCTGGGCTGGTTCCCACAAGGCCAGTTTTCTTCTATTTCTCCAATAACAGGAAACACTGAAAACTTGAGTAACATTGGTGGTTTAAAAAAATAAAATAGAGAAACAGATGGCAAGAGCTTCTCAAGGTAAAGGAATATTTGTAGGTAAAAAATTAATTGCTACAATGTCTATAAACTATCCAAATGAAATGTTATGACAGTCAATTTTGTAGGAGATAAGGATTATCTGAAAGATCAAATACAGAAATGCAATAGAGTGATTTTTACTTGGTTTGTCTTAAAAACATTCAAATGTATATTAAGTGAATAACAATTTTTGCATTTCAGATGGTTCTGAAACAGAAGCATCTATCTTTGTATCTATCAATATCTTATTTGTAATTGATTATCGTGATATTCTGCTAGCAAGTAAACATAGTTTGATTTCAAGAATATAGGCAGGTAATTCATACATTGTTTTCCAAATCTTTTTTTTGTCAGAGAGGCAGAGGGAGTGGAAATTACAATGGAAAGGGCTTACATTTGTTGTTGTTGTTTTTTATTTTTATTTGTTATAATTTAATTGCTTACCACAACAGCTCTATGTTCTTCAATCGCTTTTAATTCTGCCTTGTTTTTTTCATATTTTTCTCTTTCTCTTTTTTCCCGTTCAGCCTCAGCTTCTGCAGTATGTCTAGCAATAATCAAATCTTCATTGTCGAGTTTCTCTTTCATTAGTTCACTCAGGAAGTTATTTATTCTTTCTCTCCTTTCTTCCATTAGCCTATAACAAAATAACCCGCACTTGTTAAATCTTCATGAATAGATTTGTTTTGAAGCCAATATAATTTTATTAGAAATCATATATTTTATAGTCTTTTACAAGACTAAATGGAGCCCCATTGCTCTTTATATGTACTAATTATTTTAAGTGGAAACTAATTTTAATACTTTATTTTTAGAATAAAGTTTATTTTATTTTATTATTTTTTTAAGAATAAAAATATTTAAAAAATTTTTTTCAACGTTTATTTATTTTTGGGACAGAGAGAGACAGAGCATGAACAGGGGAGGGGCAGAGAGAGAGGGAGACACAGAATCGGAAACAGGCTCCAGGCTCTGAGCCATCAGCCCAGAGCCCGACGCGGGGCTCGAACTCACAGACCGCGAGATCGTGACCTGGCTGAAGTCGGTCGCTTAACCAACTGCGCCACCCAGGCGCCCCGAGAATAAAAATATTTTAGAAAAGATATTTTAAAAACCCAAAGGGAGGAATGTATGTAATATCTTGTGTGTGTGCATGTGTGTGTGTCCAGGAAATAAAGTGTTAAAATTCTCACAATGAAAATTTTTTCAAAAGTTATCAGATACCCTTCCTACTTAAACACTGGAGGCTTAGGTTATAAAATAAATCAAAGGCATTTCTTTATTTTTTTAAATTTTTTTTTAACGTTTATTCATTTTTTGATAGAGAAAGACAGAGTGTGAGTGGAGGAGGGGCAGGGAGAGAGGGAGATACAGAATCTGAAGCAGGATCCAGGCTCTGAACTGACAGCACAGAGCCCGACGCGGGGCTCGAACTCATGGACTATGAGATCATGACCTGAGCCTAAGTTGGACGCCCAACCGACCGAGCCACCCAGGCACCCCAACATTTCTTTAAATGAAATCTCAAAAATAACTAGTAAGAATTATCAAACTCTTGAAGAAATCCATCCTATTACTATATCCTGTTTACAATTTATTCATAGCACCTTATTGACTTCATCTATTCATATGAAGATAAACAACTCTCCTTTCATACTAGGAGATTCCTGAGGTCAGAGACGAGGTAAGTCTTGTAATTCAGAGCCAAGCATGGTGCCTGACACATTCAACAATAACTAGGTATTTGTTAAAGGAATAGGGGTATTTTCATATAAGATTGGGTGAAAAATACTTTTAAATTTAGATATGACAGATTTACTAAATAATTGCGTGAGTTTGCAAAGAAATGTGGGAGAAATGGTAAGAAAGAACACAGTGCATATCCCAAGGAAATTATAATCTAAAGTGGAGAAAAGACATTTATGCAAATAACTATACAAGGCAAAGGGTGATACGTGCCATCAGAGAGCTAGAAAGTGATATGGGCAGATGAGAAAAAAAGGTTTCATGGAAAAAGTGACACTTCATCTAGGCTTTCAAAAACAATATTCTAAACACTTTTATTGATTGCCTACAATACTCCAGACTCTATTCCAGGTGCTGGGGACATAATAGTAAAAAAACCTTAAAAATCTCTGCTTTCATAGAACTTTCATTATAGCTGGGGTAGACGGAGAGTAAACCAAGTAAGTAGTTAAAATAGTGCCATATCACACAATGAGGAAGAAGAAAGCAACCTAAACAGGTTACCTAAACAGGTAAGCAATGTGGAGAGTGGAGCTGTAATTTTAACTTAGGTAGTCACGTAAGGCCTCAATAAGAAGGCCTTATATGAAGGCCCTATATTTCAGAATAATGATCTGAAAGAGTTAAAGGTGAGCATTCCTCAGAGAGGGTACAGGAGTTCAGTGTGAGTGATTAAGAGGCAACAAAGGAGAGGACAGTATGAGATGAAGTCTGAGTGATGAGGCTGAGGCAGCTGGGAATTAGGAGAGCCTCATGGGCCTCAATAAATACATGTGATGTAAAGCCATCAGAACAGTTTGCACAAGGGAAAAGTAGATCTAGACAGAAACAGGATGTACTGCAACTGGCCTCCTGCTCTCCCTCACCTCATCTCAAACTTCTCACTAAGGTGAGCAGTGGTCTCCCTATCTGATGAACATTTCATTTTTAAAATCTCATTTAATCCCTCTATTGATCTAACACCAATGACTGCTGTCTTCTTATTGAAACTTTCCTTTCTTGTTTCTCTGGTTTTCTTCCAATCTCTGATAACTATTCTTTGGTCTCCACATTATCTTCTTTCTCCATTTGACCCTTAAATATGGACTTCTCTAGGGACCTTCATTTTTTACCTACTCACCATAAGTAAGCTCATCTGTATCCACAGTTCTAACTACCACTATATCAGTGGCTCACAACGCCATCTCCAGCTCAAATCCCTCTCCCACAGCAGAGATTTCCACTATTTCCAACCATCTACCAGATTGATTTCCTTGATATTCCAAGGGAACCCTAACTCACATGCTGCAATTGATATCATCATGTCACTGAATGCCCTAGTCATATATAAAATAATAAGACTTATTCTTAAAAATTACTCTCATATTCCAACTTCTGATTTATAATAATTTCAGACAGTACTTAATTACATAAGTTATTTTTAAAAGCTTACCTGTGTGTTTCAGCTTCTTTTTCTTTCCCTATTTGCATCAGACGCTTTTTTGCTTTGATAAATTTTCTGATCTTTTCATCCTCCTCCTCTTGCTGCTGCCGTTCCACAGCCTTGATGATATTTTTATCATTCACATGTTCCTTGAGGGAAAAAATTGTGTATTATCCTATCACAGAAACATGTTTCAACATACGAATATCTAACAAAAACTTGTGAAATGGCCACAGTTTCTGACTCAGTTATTTCTCTCTCAGGAACTTATCCCAAAGAAATAATCAGAGATGTGCATTAAGTTTTATGTACCATGTGCTTTATCTCAAAGTTACTTATAAGAGTGAAAAATTGTAAACAATCTCAATCTTTAATAATGAAGAAATGGCTAAGTAAATTATACTCTCAATGACATGGGAAGATACAAACAATATAATGGGCAAGTGGGGGGAAAGGAGAATATAAAATACTACATAGCAACTTCAGTTTTATACACATATACAGATGTAAGTTTGTAACGTATATATAACTGGAAGGATTGAATCAAATGTTAATAGTTATCTCTGTGGTATGAGATTATATAGGTTACTTTTCATCTTAATGCTTTTCTGTATTTCCTTTCAAATATTGCCTTAAAATATGTAATTAAAAATAATTTTATAATCAGAAAAAATACATTAAATATATACAATTTTCATTTAATGTTTAAATAGTTAATACAATCATATGGTACACAAAATAAAAATATTTAAAAGATACACAATGCAGGGGCACCTGGGTGACTCGGTCGGTTGAGTGACCAACTCTTGATTTCGGCTCAGGTCATGATCCAGGGTCGTGGAGTCAAGCCCCATGTGGACCTCCGTGCTGAGCGAGGAGCTGGCTTAAGATTCTCTCTCTCTCTCTCTCTCTCTCTCTCTCTCTCTCTCTCTGTCTCCCTCTGGCCCTCTCCCCCACTCGTACTCTCTCTAAAATAACAAACAAAAAAACAAAACAAACCCCAAGATACAAGTGTAAAGTGTTCTTCCTTCCCCATCCACTGTCTATTTGCCTGTATTCCTAATTCCCCTGCCAGACTCGATCACTGTGAAACTAGTGAAAAAGAACTGTACCAAAGTATGTTACTGTGAAATTTTAGAGCTGCAGACGTAAAGACCCAGAAATCTTTCAGGAAGAGAGAGAGAAAAAAGTAAAACACAACGGATCACATAAATAGGCTGAAGACTCTAAATGACATCATACTTCTCAATAGCAATACTGGAAGCCAGATGATTATGAAACTATGAACACAAAATTCTGAATTCTGAATCAGAATTCTATATCTAGTCAAACTATAAAGCAAATGTGATTTTAAATGATAACCTTTTCAGATAAGAATTTTTAAAATTGACCTGTATACCCTTTGTTAGGAGGTTACTTGAAGATATATTTCAGCAAGATGGAGAAGTAAACCAAGAAAGAGGAAGGCATGTGATTCAGGATATGGGAGCCTCAGCCCAAGAAAGTAACCCAGGGAAGTGCAAGAATGACTTCTGGGCAGGAGGCCTAGAGGGCAAGCAGCCCAGAAGGAGAAGGATGGAGAACTCTGGATGGGGGAGCTCTAAAAAAAAAAAAAAAAACACCAATAATGTAGATAATTTGATATTATTTAGATGAATATTTGAAAACTAACATCAATATGCATTTGACGGAACTTATGGAACATGTGGGAAAAAACATGGTGTACAGCCATCAAAGCAAATAAATGCACAATTATTTTAATCACAGAAAAACATTTATGCAAGCAAAGAAATATAATCATAGTATATACTGTTTGGCTCTTCAGAGAACAATATTTATATAATAAAGATAATGATTTAGCTATAATTGTAACACAATTATTTTAGAGGAAGGAGAGAATGGAAAGAGAACAGTGTTAGAAAAGAACTCAATCCTTAACTACCAGAGCAGAGAGACAGAAAATGTCTAAAATTGATAAATCAAGATCTATATCTTTTTCTTTAATTTTTTTTTAGCCATTATTCATTTTTGAGAGACAGAGAGAGACAGAGCATGAGCGGGGAAGGGGCAGAGAGAGAAGGAGACAAAGAATCCAAAGCAGGCTCCAGGCTCTGAGCTGTCAGCACAGAGCCCGACGCAGGACTTGAACTCACGAACTGGGAGATCATGACCCGAGCTGAAGTCAGACACTCAACCGACTGAGCCACGCAGGCACCCCAAGAGCTATATCTTTAGAAGTTGATATATATTTTTTAAAAAGGGGGGGGCGCCTGGGTGGCTCAGTCAGTTAGTCGTCCAACTTCGGCTCAGGTCGTGATCTCATGGTTCGTGGGTTCAAGCCCCGCATCAGGCTCTGTGCTGATGCCTCAGAGCCTGGAGCCTGCTTCAGACTCTGTGTCTCCCTCTCTCTCTGCCCCTTCCCTGTCTCTCTCTGTCTCTCAATAATAAATAAACATTAAAAAATAAAAAAAATAAAAAAAGAACTTGGTATATATTTTTAAAATACACAGATTATTATTTTTTATTCTCATGTTGGTTAAAATACAGTGTAGTCTTGGCTTCAGGGGTAGAACCCAGGGATTCATCACTTATATAGGACACCCAGTGCTCATCCCAACAAGTGCCCTCCTTAATGCCCATCATCCACCTCTCCCACCCCCCTCATCTCCCACCCCCATCAACCCTCAGTTTGTTCTCTGTATTTAAGAGTCTCTTATGGTTTGCCTCCCTCTCTGTTTTTATCTTATTTTTCCTTCCCTTCCCCAAAGATCATCTGTTACGTTTCTCAAATTCCACATATGACTGAAATCATATGATATTTGTCTTTCCCCGACTGACTTATTTTGCTTAGCATAATACCCTCCAGTTACATCCACGCTGTTGCAAATGGCAAGATTTCTTTCTTTTTGATCACTGAGTAGTATTCCATTACTAAAACATACAGATTATTTGGAATATAACTTCATATCAGAACAAACAGCTAAAAGAACCTGGAAGTGGTTATTAACAAGAAGCAGAAGGGGTAAAGCAAAGAACGGCTACTCTTCTTTTAAGCCTTTTGGTAGTGTTTGATGTTTTAATTCTGTGAATGTAGGGGCGCCTGGGTGGCGCAGTCGGTTAAGCGTCCGACTTCAGCCAGGTCATGATCTCACGGTCCGTGAGTTCGAGCCCCGCGTCAGGCTCTGGGCTGATGGCTCAGAGCCTGGAGCCTGTTTCCGATTCTGTGTCTCCCTCTCTCTCTGCCCCTCCCCCATTCATGCTCTGTCTCTCTCTGTCCCAAAAAATAAATAAACGTTGAAAAAAAAATTAAAAAAAAAATTCTGTGAATGTAGTAAGAATAAAAACTAATTTTAAAGAAAAGAATGTAAAAAGTTACAAAATAAAGTGAGTTGCAATAGGAACAAAATAACTATTACATTTATCAAGCACTAATTCTTAGCAGTGCCACAGACACCAGACACATACCACTCCACTCATTCCTCACAACTCTCATTTTGAGGATAAGAAAATGCATTCACTTTAAAGAAAGTCTCATTCTCTTTTCTCTTTCTTGTTCATTCATGAGAGTACATCCACATAATTTCATAGCAAATGTAGCCGCCCCAAAAATATACTTAAAAACCCAATTCAATAGCAACTTGTTTTCAACATTATTGATTAAAAATACGTTAAAAGTTAGGCATTGGACATTATACATTTTTTTGAAGAGATATATATTTTCAACTTACAAAAAACAGCCTTCTGCTTTCATTTATCTCTTCTTTTCTCTTTTCTATTTTTTTCCTCATTTCTATTTCATGTAATGAATTCTGTCGCCTTATTTCCTCTGCATCCTTTTCTTCATGTTTTCTCCTTCTTTCTTCTTCCTCTTCATGTTCCTTTATTCTAAAGCAAAAGAATACTATAATTGACAGCAAAGCAGAAAAATAGGTTATATTTTGAATACATGAGTGAGATTCCACCCTGGGATGATGTGAAGTTGTGGGGAAACTAGTGAATTTCTTTGAGGACAAGAAGGGAATATATAAAGAGCAGTGATGAAAGCCAAATCCAATCTTGCTAAGATTGCCAATATTTTCCTTTCTCTGAAATTTGTTTCATTGCTGACCAAAATTAAGTCCTACACTAGATTTAAATGTTCCTTGGAACCTTTGAATGTTCAAGTTAATTGAATGTTCAAGTTAATTGAATGACAGTATAGTGGAATAGTGACATTATTTTACAGAAAAGTCCTTAATCCCTAGTGTTTCTCACTAGTCAGCACTAGACAATGGTACCTAACCTATGGGTCTAGCCTCTCAGGAAATGGGTTTCCTTACCCAACTAGCCACTTTGCTGATCATTCTTTCTCTAGTCCACATCCACTAGCTATAGTGCCTTCTGAGTGGTAAGCCACACAGGGCTTATGTGTGAGTTCTGCAGAGATCCTGGAACAGCTTCCTTACTGCGAGGCTGTGATCTGTGAGATTTAGCTCTAGCTCTACCTCTTTAACCCACCTTCCCAGCCCTACCACAATCAGTACTTTATTGCAGACTCTGAGTGCCCCCATCTGGCAATTAATCCTCTGCATACTAACAAGGCTGTTCAGCCTAAGATGTCTAGTCTACTTGCTCATGCATTCTTGTCAGTCAATCAAGTGTGCAGGCTACTCTACCACCATTCTTTATCTGCTGTCTCTATTTTTTTTTTTCTTCCTGAAAGGTAGGCACAGGGAAGATCAATAATACACTTAGACAAAAATATTGAGGAATAAACCTTTCAAATGCACCTGATCCAAAAGAATATTTTCTTGGAATCTTATCACTCATCTTCAGAAGGGAAAATTCCATTCCCTGTGCCACGGAGGACTACACAGTTAAATAAGATGGTAAGTTCACATTGGTATTATTAAGCCAATGGAGGACAGGAGATTCCCAGTTGATTCATCTGTACAGAGTAAGCAGCTTTGGAGCCACAATCATTTTCCTGAGGAGGAGCTAAGAAAAAAGTCATTGTTGTCTACAGCTAAACCAGGTTTACGATTGCCCTAAAAATATTAATTTTCAAAAATGTTTTATTGTTTAGTTCGTTAGAATTCTTAGAAGCAAAGAAGATTCTTTGAGCTGGTGAGAAGTCTACAGGTGAAGAATGGTAGAACAAAATTCCATACAGAAGGAAAAATATGTGGGAAGGCCCTGAGGCAAGCAAAAGTTTGACAGGTGCTCAAGGCCTGGAAGATCAGTATGACAGAAACACAGTAACTAAGGGGACGGAGTGGTAGGAAAGGAGGTTTAGAAGATGCAGCTAGATCACACGAGGCTTAGCAGGAGATGGTCAAGTTTCCATTTTATTTGTTTGTTTATATTTTTGAGAGAGAGCACGAGTGAACGAGGCGCAGAGAGAGGGGAGAGAGAGAATCCCACCAGATGCAGGAAGGGATGGAGAGTGTGGATCCCGGAGTGGAGCTAGAGCTCACCCAAAAGGGGGACTTGAGCTTACCCAAAAGCAGGAGCTCAGCACCTGTGAGATCATGACCTGAGCTGAAGTCTGATGCTTAACCTACTGAGCCACTGAGGCACCCCTCCATTTTATTTTAAATGAATGGAAAGCTATTGAAAAGTTTTAGGTAGGAGAACAATATGATCATTTTTTTAAAAGCTTATTTATTTATTTTGAGAGGGTCGGGGAGCCAAGAGAGAAGGAGAAAGAATCCCAAGCAGACTCTATGCTGCCAGCACAGAGCCAGATGTGGGACTCAAACTCACAAACTGTGAGATCATGACCTGAGTTAAAATCAAGAGTTGGACACTTAACCAACTGAGCCCCAGCTGCCACAATATGATCAATTTTTAATAAAATCTCTCTGGATGATGAAAGAAGGGGTTAGGAAGAGAGACTAGTAGGCCAGTTAAGAGGTTGACACAATAATTCATGGGACATGAGGACTAAGATGACAGCAGTAACTTTAAGATTCATTTTGGAGAAAAAATTCAACATGAATTGCTGATAGATTTGATGTGGGAAATAAAGGAACATGAAGAATCAAGGTGTATTTCTAGGTTTCTGATTTGGACAACTGAGGGTTAGATAAGGGTGTCACTAGAATGTCCATTGTGGGGGTGGTGAATAAATACTTTCCTGCTAGACATTTTAAATTTGAGATATCTGTGAGACATCAAAATGGAGGATGTCTTAAAGGCAGTTGTATGTGAAGCTGGGACCCAAAGGAGTGGTCTGGACTGGAGTTATAAATTTGTAAGTTCTTAGATTTAGGGTGTGTTTTTAATCCATAGGAATTTTAATCAGTAGGATGTGATCACTTAAGCCCTCCTTTCTCTTTGCTTTTTCCCTAGATGATCTTATCCAGGGGAAAGTCAAGCAAACTATCCTGTAATGATTTTCCCTTCTTCTGGGAAGTTGATGATATTAATAGGAACTGAGTTGTTCTTAAGCAAGTTCTACGGGCCCCTTCCTAGAGAAAGGCTTACCTAGAAGGAAATAGAATTATATGCAGTATCTACAGATACTGTTAAATTTCTTTTCAATAATTATGTTTAAGGTTCTTGGTCAAAATCCCTCCATGTGGGGATTTTGGTGTCACTAGAGTCCCTCATTTGCCCCATCCTCATTATGCCCACTGGGCTGTGAGCCACAGGCAGATTCTTACACTGCTCAAAGCCCAAAAATGGACTAGAATGACTAGGTCTACAGCCTAGAGATTGTTCTAAAAATGTGTGAAAAATCTCACTTTCAGGCACAGGGCAGCAGCTGTACAGTGTGTTTTGGTTAACCATTACTAAGTAATTACCCCCAAACTTAGTGGACTAAAACAATAAATGTTTACTATCTCATACCATTTCTGAGATTCAGGAATCTGGGAGTGGCTTAGCTAGGTAGTTCTCCAGAGGTTGCAGTCAAGATGTTAGTTGGAGCAGTAGTCATTTAAAGGCTTGACTCAGGCTGGAGAACCCATTTTTACATATCTCTTGACATGAGGCCTCAGCTCCTTGCTACATAGACCTCTCCATAGAGCTGCTTGAGTGTCCTTACATCATGGCATCCTCAGGAATGAGTGATCCAAGATAGGAAGGAGGAAGCCACAATGCCTTTTATATGCTAATCTCTCTCAGAATGTCACACATCATCATTTCTACTCATTCTCTTCATTGGAAATGAGTTACTCTGTATAGCCTGCACTCGAGTGAGGAAGGAATTAGACTCCATCCTCTGAAGAGAGGAGTATCAAAGAATGTATGTACATATTTTAAACCACCACCAGGTAATACCTGAATAGCACTTGGTAATACAATTAATAGGGCATTCAAAAGAGTCTTGCCTCTCGATATCCTCCAATTTCCTTTTTTTGGGTGTGTTAAAATATGGTCTTTGTTCAAAGTGGAAAGTCATTACAAATTTTGGCCTACAAGGCACACCATGACCTGGCCCTTGCCTCTTTCCAATCTCATCTTTAACATTGCCCTCTTTGCCCTCTGACTATAGTCATCTTGACTACTTGTAGCTACCCAAATACACCGTACTCTAACTAACTTCTGGCCCTTCACCCATGTTATTTCCTCTCCTTAAAATACTTCTCCATTTCCTATTCGCATGACTTATTCCTACTCAGTTTTCACAATTCAGTATGAACTGAGATGTCCATTTTATATGCTTCCACACATCCTGTACGTATATTCATCAAGATATCTACTATCATGCCGTAATTATTTGTTCCATGTTTATACCTCCACCCCAGATTGTGAACTTTTTAAGAAAAAAGACAATTGCATTCATCTTCACAGTCTCAGTTACTAGAATAGTGGCTGGCAAGTGGAGATTGTCCGATAAATGTTTATAAAAATGAATGGATGACTGAATAAATGAATTTACTAATAAATGAGTAGCCTATCTTAAAAAAATTTTCCCCTGAATAGACTCTTATCATTCAAGAAAGCAGGAAGAAAACTTTCCTTCTTTTCTCTTTTTCTACCACATGGTCCTCTGTATCCACTCAGATCAATACCAGTGTTAGTATTCCAGTTCTATTGTTAGCTTAAAGAGGCTTTTTATGGGCTGATTACCATTCCTAACAGTATTTTAAGTGCCATGCATTCTGAGTTGTATAAAACTGATACATGAATCAACATTCAACAGAATATCACTGGTGATAATTTTGTGAATTCGTATACTTAAAAAACCATTTATAATAAATAGATTTTCATTTTCCTTTGTTGTTTTCAATTACAGAATTGAATATTTCTTAATAAATTTAAGACATAAGACTTCTGGAACCAAATTGGGAACCCAAGCCCACGTGTCAAATATCTTTCCCTCCTAACTCCCCACAAAGCAATCAGCAGAACAGAAGAAATTCTACACCACTACAAGAAACTGAATAAAGCCAAGTCTTAGCTATATGCTTGAGTTTCCAAGAGATTTCAACAAAAAAACAGGGCACTTGAGAATGCAGTGAGGATAAGTAATACTTGGCCATCATCCACAAAGACAGAGTGTACCATGAAAAGGAAAGGAATTTATGCTGACCTCAGAACCTGGTCAACATCTCCTAGACTGCACTGAAGATAAACCAAAGAAACAACCCAAACAAGCATTAAACCTGCTGGAACTTCTAATCTATTGCCAAAGACCACATGGAAAGGAGATCCTGTGGCCTCAACACAGTCTACATGCAAAGGCTATAGGTGGATGGCCTGTTAGTACTTGCCAGGTAGATTCCTGGAGATCAGTCTGCTACCTGCAACAGCCAACATAAGAGATATTTTTCAAAGGTGACTCACTGATCAAATATTTGCCTCCTTCTGCCAATGGCTCTGTCTCTAACTTGCATAAACCCTTGGATCTCTACACTGACAAAGAAAAACATTACAGTAAGTCCAAAGCTTTCCCTTCTCTTTTTACTAGGGGCTCAAAGAACTGAAGAATACACACTTTGGCAACACATATATCCTAAGAATTGATATCTATGTCACTCAGACTGTAAGAAATAAATATATATAGGCCTATAAGAATATATATATATATGTATGTATATACATACATATATATACATATATATGTATACATGTATATAGATGTATACACACACACACACACACAACCCAAAACCATAATAACAAAAAGAGACAGATCACATCAAAGTAAGTATATTCTAAATATGAACCTACACAAGAGAACAATGGAGTAAACAATTTATGGTAACAAAAACGAAAACAGATGAATATTTACACATGAAACAATTACCTGCCTCACTAGAAATAAAAAAGAAATATAAATTAAAAGATACGATTATTTGGTCCATTAAATTCTTTAAAAAGTACTGTCCAGAATTGATTATAACATAAAGAAAAAGGTATCAGATATCATTGATGATTACACACTTAAAATCCTTTTCAGAGGGCAATTTGGCAGTATCTCCCCACATGTAAAATCCAAGCTCAGTTCAAGAAATCTATCCTACATAAATACATCTTTGCACAAACGTTACAAAATAAATATGGTCAGGGATGTTTATTTACCATAGCATTGTTAGAAATGGAGGAGGGGAAATCCAAATTTCCCTCGATAACAATATAGTTAAATAAATAATGGTACATTCTTTGTGTACAATATGATTATTTGAAAAGATGTGACAGATCCTTATATTATGGCAAAAAAGATATTCAAGGTATATTGTTGAATGAAAAAATGAAGACACAGAAAAATACAGTGTATAATATCCATGGTAAAAAATATATAAACATACTTAAATATGTCCTGCATATAAATATTAGTAACTATAATAAAACATTCTGAAGGGATAGTCACAAAACTTTAAATAATGGCTATTTGTGAAGAGGCAAATGGGATTTAAAGAGACATTGAATAGGGTGTATATGAAGATAGGCTTTTTAATTTTACTCCAAATTTTGCTGTTTTGAATTTTAAACAGGTATATATTCATTTATTATTTGCAAAATTAAAAAAAATAACTTTGAAGAGTAGCAAATATATGCCCAAATGTTAACAGTACCTACTCTGGATTACAGAGTTTCTAGTGATTTTAATTTTCATTTTGTTTGATCATATATTAATGATATGGTTAAATACAAAAATTATTTTTTCTTTAAAAGTAGAATATTGTTTAAATTTTTTGATATATTTATGCACATTTAAACTATAAAGAAACTGGTAAGCCTTACACTGGCGAAACAAGGTGGCTGATAGACAAGGAACAGACTATTCACTGAATCCCCTTCATGCCTTTTCCTATTTGCATGTATCAAGTATTTAGAAAAGTAAATAAAATTATGCACAAATGGAATCCCCTCTCCTGATATATATATAGTAGCTACTTCTTTAAAAAGTTCAGGTTTGGGGCACTTGGGTAGCTCAGTCGGGTAAGTGTCCGACTCTTGATTTTGGCTCAGGTCATGATCTCACGGTAAATGAGACTGAGCCCTGCATTGGGCTCTGTGCTGACAGTTATGAAGCCTGCTTGGGATTCTCTCTACCTCTCTCTCTGTCCCTCCTCTGTCATGCACACATGCATGCTCTCTCTCAAAATAAACATTAAAAAAAAAAAAGGTTTGGGTTTGATTTCTATTTACTGACATAGCAAGAGCTCATGATACTGTAAGTGAAAAAATATACAATGATACTGTTGATCCAATTTCATTTTCTAAAGAGTATATATTCTCAGAAAAAAAAGTCTGTATCAGTCACTCAATGATTGTCTGAGGGTAAGGAAAAGAGGGGCTGAGGGTAAGGAAAAGAACTTAGTTCAAAGGGGCATTAGGGAACTTTTGGGATGATGAAAGTATTCTGTATCTTGATTTAGGGGTGGTTATACAGCTATCTGCTTTCTAAAAGGTGAATTTTATTAGTAAATGTAAATTATAGTTCAATGAATCTGACTCCCTCTACCACTACCACCAAAAAATGTCTGTATGGCTATATACCAATATACCAAAACGATAACAGATTATTGTGGTAGATTAGATTACCGCTCAAAAAGATTCACTCTCTCACTTCCCACTTCCATAGGAGTCTATTTCTCTGTTCCATGGTTGTTTGGCTTGGCCATGTGATTTGCTTTAGACTTACAGGAGACTAAGTGTATTTCCTTGACTTTTGCCTTTGAGTTTAGCCATGTACTTGCAAGCTCAGGCTCATTCCTTTACATCCCTGTCAATACCATGAGAAAAGTTTCCCTGTACCTCAAAAATGAATACACAGGGAACAGATCAGAGCTATAGTCATAGCAACAAGCAAGCCCAGACAGCCCTGTAGTTTGAAGAAAAGCTGTGCAGCCAAGCCCAACCAACCTATGGATGCATGAGAAAGAAATGTTTACTGTTGAATGCCACTAGATTGTGTGCTTGTTTGTTATGCAGCATCATTGTGACCATAGTAACTAACATATTATCTCTGGGTAAGAGAGTAATAGTGATTTTTTAACTTTCTTTGTAGTTTTTCTACTTACTAAGTATTACAGCATTATACTTCTATAATCAGAAAAAAAAGTTTTTATGAGAAAAATGAGATACAAAAAAGGTAATTTCTATATACATACTGTTTTAAATGATCATTGGCAAGAGCCACTCTATCTCTGCGTCGTTTTTCTGCTTTTTCTTGTTCTTCTTTAAAAGCTTTTTCAATGTTGAGTTTTAATTGTTCTTCCCATTTTTTATCTGATTTTATTTTATTCTTTTGGGATTCAATCTGTGCATCACGTTCTTTCATAACTCTACTAAGAAGAAGTCCTGACTACAAAAAAAAAAAAAAATTGTGGCATTTTAAGGAAATAAAGTCTAATTATTTATGTAAAGAGATATGTTAAATATATAGAGAAATGCAAGAAAACCCAAGTAGTACATGAAACTTTTTCACTCTTTCTGTCTGGTAAAATTGATATTGCTTTGCATATTCAATAGCCTTTTTCCTTTCTCCTTGTTTGTATATTGCTTCCTCCACATCAAGATTTTGTCTTTCTGCCTCTATTTCTTCATCACGCTTCTTTTTGGCTTCAAGTTTCTGTTCTTTCATCCCCTGTAATAAGAAAAAAACAGTCTTCTGTCTTCATTTTTCAATTTAATTTTACAAAATTTCACATTGCATATAATGAAATATGAGTCTTTCATTATGAGTCTTTGTTATATTTGCATATATCATTAATAAAAAAATATGTTACACTTAGAAGCTAATATTTTAATTGAGCTTTTGGGTAGCTAACATGTTTACATGGTTCAAAACACCAAAACATTTTCGTAAAAAATTTTTTAAAGTTCATTTATTTATTTTGAGAGAGGCAGAGACAGTGGGAGTTGGTGAGGGGCAGAGAGAGAGGGAGAAAGAGAATCCCAAGCAGACTCCACATTCCTAGCACAGAGCCCAATGCAGGACTCAAACCTGCAAAATCGCAAGATCAAAATCAAGAGTCAGATGCTTAACTGACTGAGCCATCCAGGTGTCCCCAAACCCCCAAATATTACAAAGGTATACAGTGAAGCTCTCCCTCCAATCCTAACTTCCATCAGCAATCTCTAAGATAATCACTATTGGTTTCTTAGTTTGCTTCCAAAGTTTCTTTTTTAAGTTTATTTTGAGAGAGACAGAGACAGTGCCAGTGGGGGAGGGGTAGAGAGGGGGGCGGAGAGAAAGAGAATCCCAAGCAGGCTCCGCACTGTCAGTGCAGAGCCTGACACAGGGCTCAAATTCAGGAAACCTCAAGATCATGACCTGAGCCAAAACCAAGAGTTGGACACTTAACCAATGGACCCACCCAGGTACCTCCAAAGCTTCTTTCTATATTTACTAAAAAATATATATATTTACTATATATATTTACTATATATACATATAACGATTTTTATTCCTTTAAATAACTACTTCTATCCAATGCGTCATGTCAGATGAGGTCTTTCTACTTCTTTATGAGTCATACTTTTGACAACCTTAAGGAAACCTTACTTACCCTAAAATCCTGAAGATATTCTATGATTTATTTCAAAAGTTTTACTGTTTTAATTTTCACATTTAGGTCTTTAATCCAGCTGAAATTCATTTTTGTATATTCTAAATTTTTTTTTTCAACGTTTATTTATTTTTGGGACAGAGAGAGACAGGGCATGAACGGGCGAGGGGCAGAGAGAGAGGGAGACACAGAATCGGAAACAGGCTCCAGGCTCTGAGCCATCAGCCCAGAGCCCGACGCGGGGCTCGAACTCACGGAGCGCGAGATCGTGACCTGGCTGAAGTCGGATGCTTAACCGACTGTGCCACCCAGGCGCCCCATAACAAACCCAGTTTAAACACGGGCAAAAGATTTGAATAAACACTTCTCCAAAGAAAATATGAAAATAAGTTCATAAAAAGATGTTCAACATCATTGTAATTAGAGAAATTCAAATTAAAACTATAGTAAGATACTACTTCACACCTATTAGAATGTCTATAATTAAAAAGACTGACCACAGCAAGTTGGCAAGAATGTGGAGAAAATAGAACACTTACACACTTCTTACAGGAGTATAAAATTATAACTACTTTCAAAAACAGTTTGGACGTTTCTTACAAAGTTAAATATGCAGCCATCATATTATTCAGCCATTCTACCAAGATATTTACCCAAGAGAAGTGAAAGTATATGTCCACAAATAGATTTACACATGAATGTTCATATACAGCTTTATTTATGATAGCCAAAAACTGGAAACAGCTCAAATATCAACATTTGGTTGATGTCAAACCATCGACAATTAAATAGATAAATAAATTGTGGTCCATTCATATAATAGAATACTACTACTCAGCAATAAAAATGAACAATTGGTACACACAACAACATGAAAGAATTCTGAAAGGATTTCAAAAAATTATGCTGAGCAAAATTTAAAATAGAAAATAGTGCAGGGGCACCTGGCTGGTCAGTCGGTGGAGCATGCAACTCCTGATCTCAGGGTTGGAGTTCAAGACCCACGCTGGGTGTAGATTACTTAAAAATAAAATCTTGAAAAAAAGAAAGAAAGCAGATAAGCTGCCTGGAGACAGGGGCAGGAAGGAGTGAGAAGGTGTAAATCAAGTATGGGGAAACTTGTTTTGGTGATGAGTATGTTCATTATCTTAATTATAATGATTGTTTCAGGGGTGTGTAAATATGTCAAAACTTAGCAAATTGTACAACTTTAAATATGTCTATTTTATTGTTTGTCACTTTTTTTTAATTTTTTTTATTTAAAAAAAAATTTTTTTTAACGTTTATTTATTTTTGAGACAGAGAGAGAGACAGAGCATGAATGGGGGAGGGGCAGAGAGAGAGGGAGACACAGAACCGGAAGCAGGCTCCAGGCTCTGAGCCATCAGCCCAGAGCCTGACGCGGGGCTCGAACTCACGGACCGCGAGATCGTGACCTGGCTGAAGTCGGACGTTTCACTGACTGCGCCACCCAGGTGCCCCTATTGTTTGTCACTTCTAAATAAAGCTGTTGAAAATGTGCTTCATAGCATTTTTATGATTTTTAAAAAATGTTTATTTTTGAGAGAAAGAGAGAGAGAGAGAGAGAGAGAGAGAGAGAGAGAGAGAGAGAGTGCAAGTGCATACGCACGAGTGGGGGAGGGTCAGAGAGAAAGTGGGGATAGAGGATCCCAAGCAGGCTCTGCCCTGACAGCAGAGAGCTCGATGCAGGGCTTGAACTCATGAACTGTGAGATCATCACCTGAGCCAAAGTTGGACACTCAACTGACTGAGCCACCCAGGTGCCTAGCATTTTTTATAATATTTTACACATAAAAAATATTTATAAAATGTACAAAGAAACAAGAGTGAGTCTTCAGTACATATGTATTCCTGGGTGATTAATACTTACTGCGTATGTATTAGTCCAATGTTTTACCACTTCTTGGGATCGGAAATGCATTTCTTTCTTTGCCTTTCTTTCTGTACGAAGGCATGCTGCTTCTCTTGTCAAACTGTCAAGGCTATCTCGAATCCTTTTCCACTCATTGTGTGGAATTATGGTAACCTGCCGGAGATCGACCTTGCTAGGTAGAAGAGGTGGATAGAGGACTTGATCTTCTTCAGAGTTCTTTATTTCTAATAAATTTTAAAAAATAAAGACTTTCAAGAGTTTAAATATTTTTTTCTCAGACATTTCTATATTGTCATGATACCGGAAATTCTTTTAAATAATAATTTTATTCTTATTATTTCAAGGACAGCTGGGATTAAGTGGAAAGTATAGAAGAACTTGAAATCAGAAGACAGATTTGAGTATTTGCTTGGTCATTTCCTTACTCTGTAAACTTAGGCAAGTCATTTAAATTCTTGGAGCCTTAGTATCAAATCTTTAAAAGTTGAGATCAATAATACCTATCCCAACAGGTTGTTATTAAAGCTTTTTTAAAAAAAAATGACCAAGCAGCAGTCTATAAATGGATAATTTGGGGGATAATTTGGAAGAAAATCTTTTGGAGTTGTAGACATTGTGATTGACTCTATTCAATCCCTTCCTAATTGAGCAGTGGCAATGTAATTTGGAGAACTGAATACAGTCTCAGGGTGGGCCTCATTAGTTAAACAATACTTGTATCTCCCTTGGCAACAGTTATTTCTGTAATAAGCAAACAAAAGGAAAAGAGATTTATTTGAGACTTTTATTTTTTTTATTATTATTTTTTTAATTTAAATGTTTTTATTTATTTTTGAGACAGAGAGAGACAGAGCATGAGCAGGGGAGGGGCAGAGAGAGAAGGAGATACAGAATCTGAAGCAGGCTCCAGGCTCTGAGCTGTCAGTACAGAGCCCAATGCGGGGCTTGAACCCACGGACTGTGAGATCATGACCCGAGCTGAAGTCGGACACTTAACCGACTGAGCTACCCAGGCCCCCCTATTTTAGACTTTTAGAAAAGTTCTTCCTGTTCTTCTGGGAGAGACATCTGAGAGTGACTCTCCAGTTAGATATGAACAAGGAAGCATGAAGACCAGATAAGCAGCATCCTATGACCACAAAAGGAAGTAGCCTTATGATAAAGCTGTTACTGTGAACCACAAAGAAAAAACAAAGGGGGAACATGGGGCAATGAGGATCTCATTATGATGCTAGATCAATTAGACCTGAAACCTGGAGTTCCTGTTATATGAGCAAATAAATGTCCTTATTTTTAAACATGATTGAGTTGGGTATTCTATATATGAATTAAAAAGCATCCTAAATGAACATACCACGCATGAACTATGTAAATCTAGACAAAATTACTTTTTTTAATGTTTATTTATTGTTGAGAAAGAGAGAGTGCGAGCAAGGGAGGGACAGAGAGAGCGAGGGAGACAGATGATCCAAAGCAGGCTCCACACTGATAGCAGCAAGCCCAAAGCAGGGCTTGAATTCATGAGACATGAGATCAAGACCTGAGCCAAAATCAGTCACTCAACCGAGTGAGCCACCAAGGTGTCCCTGTAGACAAAAGTATTTAACTCTCTAATTCCTTAATTGCAAAATGGAGATATTAATAGGACCTATGTTATATGGATGATGTGAGAATTAAATGAACTTGTGTGTGCAAATAATTTAGAATAATGTGTGGCACACAAAATGTTCTCGATAAGCATTAGCTATTAATATGTTTACTATTATTATTATTAGATGAAATGAAACAAAAGTACAGAGAAAAGCAAAAGCAAGAAATCACATAGCTCCAGAAAGAGATGAAGATACTGAGAGAAAAGCTGCCAGGATCAATTAGAGTCTTCTTGGGGTTTGAATTAAAGTTGATGGGACTGAGCAATTGGTTGCTGAAGTAAAGAGTGAATTTAGAACCACAGGTACCATCTTGCCTATCACATACCAAGTCCCCACCTAGAGAATAAAGCTAAGCAAAGCTGATAGATAGAATAGTGTCCTGGATCAAGTTATATCTAGATTCAGCTATATGTAGGTCTATGTGTAGGTCAGCTATGTGTAGGGTAGGTCTGCTAGCAACGAATTTGATATTTTTGTTTACCTGGAAATATATATATATATATTTTAAAGTTTATTTATTTATTTTTGAGAGAGAGAGAGAAAGCGCAAGCTGGGGAGGGACAGAGAGAGAGAGGGAGAGAGAGAGAGAATCCCAAGCAGGTTCTGCACTGTCAGAGCAGAGCTCGATGTGGGGCTCAAACCCACAAACTGTGAGATCATGACCTGAGACAAAGCCTGATGCTTAACTGACTGAGCCACCCAGGACATGGAAATATTTTAACAGTTTTCATGGATAAAAAATCTTTAAGTCTTCTTCAGTTAATACCTTGAATATGTCAACCGTCTGTCTTCCGGCTTCCGTAGTTTCTTAGCAGAAATCAGCTAATAATCTTATTGAGGCCGACTTTTATGTGTTGCATTTGTTCTCTCTTGCTGCTTTCAAGATTGTCTTTCCCTTTGTCTTTTGACAGTTTGATCATGAAGGGTCTGGTTCTGGATCTGTTTGAGTTTATCCATTTTAGAGGATCAATGAGCTCTTGAACGTATAGATTAATGTTTTTCATCAAATTTGTGAAGTTTACAGCCATTACTTCTTCTACCCCTTTCTCTACTCCTCTCCTTCTAAGACTCAAATTATATACATCTTGGTATACTTGTTGGTGTCCTATATTTCTCTGAGGATCTGCTCATTTCTATTCATTCTTTTTTTCTTTCTATTCCTTAGACTGGACAATCTCAATCAATATATGATCAAGTTCTTTGAGTTTTTTCTTTTGCAAGCTCAAATCTGCTTTTGAGCCCTGCTAGTGAATTTTTCATTGAAACTATTCTGCTTTTCAACTCCAAAGTTTCTATTTGGTTTCTCTTTATAATCTCTATCTCTTTATTTATATGCTCTATATTGTGAGACAACATTCTTAATACTTTCCTGTAGTTCCTTTGACATTTAGTTCTTTGAACATATTCACAGTAACTGTAAATTTACAAAAGAAACTGTTTAGTAAGTCTAACGTGGGCTTCCTCAGGAACAGTTCCTATTCAAACTTCTTTCTTATTTTTTAGCATGCTTTGTCATTTTTGTCGAAAGTTGTAAATTTTAAATAACATGTGGCAACTCTAGATATCAGATTCCCCACACACCCAAAGTTTGTTTTTATTGCTGTTGTGGTTTGTTTAGTGATTTTCCTGAACTAAATCTGTAAAGTCTGTATTCTTTGCTGTATGTGGCTTTTGGAATCTCAGCTTGGTTAGCTTAAATGTCAGCTAATAATTGGACAGAGTTTCCTTAAATTAAACTTTTTTTTAATGTTTTTTTAATTTTTAAGAGAGACAGAGACAGAATGCGAGTGGGTTAGGGGCAGAGAGAGAGGGAGACACAGAATCCACAGCAGGCTCCAGACTCCAAGCCGTTAGCACAGAGCCCAATGCAGGGATGGAACCCACAAACTGTGAGATCATGACCTGAGCTGAAGTTGGACGCTTAACCAACTGAGCCACCCAGGTGCCCCAGAAGTTTCCTTAAATTAAATTTAATTTCCTTAAATAAATCTCCCAGCCTTTGCCAAGAAACTCTCTGTGAGTGCTGGAGCATGACTTCAATGCTCAGGCAGGTAGTTTACAACTCTGTCTTAGCCTTTACTTTTTTCTTGCATTGAGCCTCAAATTTAGCTAGAGGTGAAAGCTAAATTCTCAGGTATTTCCTGGGCATGTGTATAGCACTATGCATGCATTTGTCCTTCTGGACTCCCAGGAATATGTAGGGAGCTTCTCAAAGCCCTTTATGGACATCTCATTTCCCAGGTGTTCTTTTAAAGTTTTTGGTCAGCTTGTTTACAACCAACAGTGATCACTACTTCAGGCAGTTGTGATGTTAAAAAATTGTCAATAATTGTTTTAACAAACATTCCCAGTGAGCTCTGAGTCAGGTAAAATAAAATTAAGCATTTTCAGTAGGATTTTCCAGGGAACTGTGAGACAGGTAAAATAATAGTTATCTAAAAAAAGGCTGTGGAGAGAATTCAATCCTTTCCTTCCCCCTCCACAGGTTACTAAGCCACTGGCATTCACTGTGGTTGCAGTGGTTTTCTAGACTTCCATGGGGCTAGGAAAAAAGTATGGGACAAGAGCAAGTTAAAATGCCAAAAAACTTACTGTTGTTACCAAGATTCAGCTATTTTTCCTGATAAAACACTCTTCAATTGTTACAAGCCTTTGGTTAATCTCCTGAGTTCTAAAGAAAAAAAATTTTGGTTTTGACGATTTTTGTCAGTGTTGTTTTTAAAAATAAAATTTTTTATTTTATTTTTTTTAAATTTTTTTTTCAACGTTTATTTATTTTTGGGACAGAGAGAGACAGAGCATGAACGGGGGAGGGGCAGAGAGAGAGGGAGACACAGAATCGGAAACAGGCTCCAGGCTCCGAGCCATCAGCCCAGAGCCTGACGCGGGGCTCGAACTCAAGGACCGCGAGATCGTGACCTGGCTGAAGTCGGACGCTTAACCGACTGCGCCACCCAGGCGCCCCAAAAATAAAATTTTTTAAAGTGGGCTTTACACCCAACATGGGGCTTGAACTCACTACCCCAAGATCTAGTCATATGCTCTTCTGACTGAGCCAACCAGGTGCCCCGGGGTTCTTTTCGATTTAATAGAGAAGAGGATTTTTGGAGATCCTTATTCCACCATTCTGGCTGATGTCATTCCATTAAATCTTTAGATAATTATTTGTTTTACAGATAGTTGTCTACATATCAGAACCCCTCTCCTACTTCACACACTTCTAAATGTAAATTATAATTTAGCAGTGAGGCTCAGATAGGAACTTTTGGACCAAGTGACACAAAACATTTTTTAAAACCTATCACATAAATCTAAGTCTTTTATAGTACTGTGTATGTAAGAAAGTATGTGAGAGTAATAGTTGTTGTTGTTGTTGTTGTTGTTTCACTATATGTCACATGGTTACTGTCTCTCTCCTACATGTCAGGACTTCGTAAGCCCTTCACTGCATAAATACCCTGTAGTGTCCACTGGAGGGATAATGGCTGGCTCTCACTCTGCATCTGGCAGAACGAGGCTCTACTGCTACAAAAGCTCAGGTGATGACATGAACTCAGTCCAAACTCCCAAGGTTCTGGTGGTCATCATTGCAACATTAATTGGGAATTTACATACTTAAGAAAGCAAAATCATTCGAATTGTTAGAGTTCTTTAGATGTCCCCCTAGGCTACTTGTATTCAAAAATCAAACTTTTATAACAAGTCACCTAGATTATAATACCTAAGTAGCATTATTTTTTACACTCCTTCACTTTAGAGATGAGGAAATTGAGACATTTCCATGAAAGACTTTCCTAACAGCACTCAGTAGGTTCACAGCAGGGTCAAGATTCTAATGAGGTCATTGATACTTCCAAAAGATATTCCAATTCACTCAATGAATAACAAAAGCTTAAGGGAATTCAGCAAATACCAGACACTTGGAACTGCAACTACACAGCTCAAGGCTCAGACCAGCTGGTCAAGTGGGAGTCTCTAACTTCTCTTTCCTCCGCTCCTATTTGTAAACTTTTCTCACCTACCCAATCATATGAAGACAAAACTGTTCATTTACACAGAGCCCAACGATACCCATGGGGATGCTTTGGATTTGGTGCAGCCCATTTCAAAAAGTAACCTAAACTCTGATTTGGCACCCTTGCCTCTTACCGTATGCCTGGAGGCCAGAGCAATCCCTGTGCCTGGAGAGGCGAGTTTAGCTCACCTGTGTTTTCCTTCGCCTGTCCAGAGCGCCTTCCGAACCGCACCAGCATCTCTGACGACATGCCCTTGGCGCTATCTGGCTTTCCAAGCTACTCCGAGGCGGGGAGTGTAGGAGTCCTGCTGGTCTAGTGTTAGCCAAACTGTGCGGTTGCTTAGCAACGCCGCCGGAAGTGACGAGGGCGCCACCGAGGGACGGTGAACGCACTGCAGTCCGCCTTGGGGCTAGCGAACCCCGGGTGCGCCTGCGCAGGAAGTCGAGGCTCAGCGTGCGGGTGGGGTGCCCCTCGCGGGCAGGCACAGGAACAAGGTCGGAGGGCAGAGTCCGCGGAAGCGGCTCGGAGGCCAGGACGGCTGCAGACGTCTGGGTTGGCGAGGAGCCCTGGGGACCCGGCCCGGCCGGGTGCTCCCAGCCTCATCCAACGCGATCCTCACGGGAGATGACCCCCAACGAGGTGCCTGCACCTACGTTCGGGGCGGGCCGGCAGGTGTGTGGGAGAGCGAGGCCTATGCTTGGTGTGTGCGGCCCACCGATCTCCTCGCGGGTGGAAGGTGGAGGGCAAAGGCCTCCCTTCCAGAAAAACCCAGAGATTAATTGACAGAAAATCTGTTTGTAAAGACTTTGGCTTCTAAGCCATGATCCGAGCTAGATGAAGCTTATATTTAAAAAAAATTAAAAAAAAAAAAAAAAAAAAAAGGAATGTTAAAACTTGGATGTTGTGCCGGAACATTGATATTAGGATCTTTAAGATCCTTCAAATTGCTTAGTAAATACAGTATAGTAAATTGAATGCATTTGTGGGACCAGCCAGACCACTAAGGGCACAAAAATCTGTTAAGAGTGGATGCAGGCTTGTTTTCAGAAGATCCTTTTCTGACACATCGAGGTACAAATGATATCATTATAAGCTAGTTGGCTAGGACACCTACACATTAGGCACCAAAGTAGAGTCACTCAAAGTGAAAGGAGGTAAGATTTTTAATCATTAAGGTTCTAACACATAGTTGTCCTGTTTTTCTTCAGGTTTTCTATCAGAGGTACCACCATAATAATGCTGGTAAGTATGAAAAGATTAATAAAATATTTGTTGACAGAAACTAGCTTTTGCACATACAGCGTTGGTGGCGTTGGTGGTTTTTTTGGAAGCATAGTTGTAAAAATGTCAAGAACTCGGAAGAGTCAGAGATTTTATCCTGCTTGCGCGCTAACAACTTAGCCTGCGACAGTTTTGTAGAAGACATAGACCCCTAGAGCACAGATGAATTACTTACAGCGGTGGCAGTAGCCAGAATATTAGCACTGTTGCCCCACTTGCCACAGGGTGATGCAAAGAGGCAGAAATCGCCTGCACTTGGAGTGTGTTGCATTACAGGACCGGAACCCTGAGCTTAGGGAACCATAATGTTTATTATAGTGAACATTAAGCATGCCTTTCAGTATATATACATTTTTGACAGCACAGCCCAGAGCATAGAGTGCTGAATGCCTTGCTTGTAAGGCATCTAGAAACAGTAGAGACCCATAGAGAATTGCCTCCGAACAAAAATTCTCTGGAATTTTAACTCAATAGGTTACAGAAAGTATTGAATCATATAAAATTTAGTGTCAGTAATTTGCCTGTTTGACATGATAGTCTGATATCATTTGACTTCCTACACCTGGTTCAACTAACTCATGGATATTTATAGCTAAGTCTATCTAGAGTTAGTTACTTATCTGCTGACCTCCACTCTTGTTGTTGTTGTTATGAAATTAAGGTATTATTTGCACTCTGATCTGAAACAGTTTAAATTATTCTGGGGACAAAATTATTACAAAACCAGTGTAGAAAAAGAATGCACTGAAGTTGAGGCACCCATGATCTTACCATTGTACACATAGGCTTTTTTAACTTTTTTAAACAAAAATGGGACTATACTACTGTATACACTGTTTAGTGACTTGTTTAATTTGAACTGAACATCTTAGCTTTTACTGGCTAAATAAATACTCCATTATCTGGCTATCATATCTTATTTAAGCAGTCCCCAATTCTCAGATATCTGTGTAGTTTCCAGTTTTCATTATTGTTAAAGACACATAGGCTATTGTTAATCACTGGAAACATTGCAGATATACCAAATATATCCTGTTCATGCTTTTGGAGAGAATAATCAATAACTGCCTTTGGAATTTTAACATTGTATTCAAAATAGATTCATATTCTTTTTTTTTTTTTTAAGTTTTTAATGTTTATTATTTTTGAGAGACAGACAGAACACAAGTGGGGAGGGGCAGAGAGAGAGGGAGACAGAATCTGAAGCAGGCTCCAGGGCTCGAATCCACGAACCTTGAGATCATGACCTGAACAAAGTCAGATGCTTAACTGACTGAACCACCCAGGAGCCCCAAAATAGATTCACATTCTTAAAACTAAATTTTGGTGCACATCCTTAAGTTTTGGAGACATTTCTATTAAAGTATAGCACTAATCTTTGAAAGTTTATTGAAACAGAATGTGGTACTTGTCTATTATTTAACAAGTAAAAAGAAATGATGAAATCTGGAAATCTCAGCATAATCAGCCTAACAATTGTGTTTATATCCACTGGATAAAAATCTATATTCATATAACATTTCCTGTTTTATATTTAAGGTTTTTGTTTAATCAAAATTTTGTTTCTCCTATTTCTAATAGATGACTTTCTGATATAAGAGAAAACAGTATAGTTAGAAAACATAAATTTAAAAATACCTTAAATACTTTTATTAATTTTAGGAGTTAAGAAGTCTTTGTTTTTTGCTCCAAACCAGAAGACTTTGTTCCCTGCATATAGAGTAGGGGTACTGTTGGTTAGAAACTGGCTGGTGTTTAAAACTGAAGATTGTCATGACTATTTAACCTAAGCTCTATTCTGAACTAAAATTAATTGTCTTGGAAATACTAAGTCAAGTAAGTATTTTTAATAAAAGTTTATGTTGAGTGGTGACAAGAAACTAATAGAGGGGCTCCTGGATGGCTCAGTCAGTTAAGTGTCTGACTTTAGCTAAGGTCATGATCTCACAGTTTGTGGGTTCAAGCCCTGTGTCAGGCCCTGCACTGACAGTGCAAAGCCTGCTTAGGATTCTGTCTCTCCCTCTCTCTGCCCCTCCCTGACTTGTGCTTTCTCTTTCTCTCAGAATAAATAAATAAACTTAAAAAAAAAAAAAACAACAACTAATAGAAAAAGATCTGAAATTAAGAAAAGTACACCTTCAGGTAGAAATTAATAGTCAACAGCAGAACTATGTTAACTTCAAGTTTATGATATATCTTATTACTTTGAGGTTAATAGTTCAGGAATTTAGGTTACTTGTGGCTGATTAAATCTAGGCTTGAGACAATTTTCAACCAATGAGTTACATTTGAATATTTTTAAAAGTTATAAACTCAGAATCCTTGAAAAGCATGTTTAATTTAAAGTGTGCCTGGGGGCGCCTGGGTGGCGCAGTCGGTTAAGCGTCCGACTTCAGCCAGGTCACGATCTCGCGCTCCGTGAGTTCGAGCCCCGCGTCAGGCTCTGGGCTGATGGCTCAGAGCCTGGAGCCTGTTTCCGATTCTGTGTCTCCCTCTCTCTCTGCCCCTCCCCCGTTCATGCTCTGTCTCTCTCTATCCCAAAAATAAATAAACGTTGAAAAAAAAATTTTTTTAAAGTGTGCCTGGAGTGTAGTACTAATGTGTTTGTCCAGTCTGCCTTATTGCTGATTATTATGTTGTTTTGTGAGAGAGTGAATTCTGCACTTAAATCCCTGGCAGCCAGTCAGAGATACCTGGATTAGATATTTAGAGATACAAGGATCCAGAGTATCAGAATATTATATACTGTCTAAATTTAAACACAACAGGAGATACCCTTCTAGGTTAGTTGTTCTCCAGATACCCTAAATTGAGAGACAGAATACTTACTCCTGTTTGAGCCAACAAGCTCTATTCTCAATTTTACCTACTAGATATCTATTGTTATAAGCCAGAGAATATATGTGGTTAAATGCCATGTTTTCCATTAAAAAAAGATTTTTTTTAAGTTTTTATTTATTTTGAGAGAGAGAGCAAGCAGGGTAGGGGCAGAGAGGGAAGGGAGAGAGACAATCCCAAGCAGGCTCCACACTGCCAGCACAGAGCCTGATGCGGGGCTCAAACTCACCAACCATAAGATCATGACCTGAGCCTAAATCAAGAATTGGACACTTAACTGACTGAGCCACCCAGGTGCCCCCATGTTTTCCGTTTCTAATTTATCTCTTCTTTTTCTTGTTGCTGGGGTTCTTCACTTTTCTTTTTAGGATTTCTTTCTTTTCTTTTTTTTTTTTTCTAATTTTTTAAATTTTTACTTATTTTTGAGACAGAGAGAGACAGAACAGGGGAGGGTCAGAGAGAGAGGGAGACACAGAATCTGAAGCAGGCTCCAGGCTCCGAGCTGTCAGCACAAAGCCCGACATGGGGCTCGAGCTCACAAACCTTGAGATCGTGACCTGAGCCGAAGTCAGACGCTTAACCGACTGAGCCACCCAGGTGCCCCTCTTTTTAGGATTTCTTGTTAAAACCTCAGAATGGTCATAGATGTGGTATTAGGGTTAGTGTGTACTTTGAGACTAATGAATGTTTTCATGTAATTAAGCATCTTTTTGTCAAAATGATCTATCTAGTATTTATTTTTAAACTGATTGATAAGAGGGGTCCCTGGCTGGCTCCGTCAGAGGAGCATGTGACTCTTGATCTTGGGGTTATGAGGTTGAGCCCCATGTTGGATGTAGAGATTACAAAAAATAATCTGAAAAATTAAATTTGAAAAATTAAAAAACAGTGGGGCCTGGTTGGCTCAGTCGGTTAAGTGTCCGACTTTTGCTCAGGTCATGATCTTACAGTCAGTGATTTCGAGTTCCCCACTCACATTCTGTCTCTCTCTCACTCAAAAATAAATGAACATTAAAAAAATTTTTTTAAAAAGAATTTTTTTAATGTTTATTAATTTTTGAGAGAGAGAGTGAGAGACAGAGTGTAAGCAGGAGAGGGGCAGAGAGAGAGGGAGACACCAAATCTGAAGCAGGCTCCAGGCTCCGAGCTGTCAGCACAGAGCCCCCTGTGGGGCTCGAACTCATGACCTGTGAGATCACGACTCAAGCCAAAGTTGGACACGCAACCGACTGAGCCACCCATATGCCGCAACATTAAAAAAATTCTTTATAAAATATTTAAAATTTGTAAAAATAAACTTATTATTTTTACATTAGAGTATGGTACTTTAAGCATGAACTAGAGTGTCAAGCAGACCTGAGTCCAAATTCTAGCTCTTCCACTTAACTAATACTTAACCAACTTAACTAACACTTAGGCTTCAGTTTATATGTCTCTAAGATGAAGTTAATTTCTACTTAATAGGGTGATGAAATTAACTGAGATGATGAAATTGTGAAGTTCTTAGTCCAGGGCCTGGTGTATTGTGGTATCTTTAAAAATATTAGTAACACTGAAAAATTTGTTGTTGTTGTTTACACTAATTGTAGCTTCTCTTGGGTATTCTTTATAACTGTCTTTTTTACATAATTTTTATACATACTGTCTGTTGACCAGTTTAGTTTTTCCTTTTCTCTTGAGATTTATAATTAATGACCTTCAGTGTCATTTAATGAAAACAGAGAATTAAGTAATTGTCATATCATAAGCAATGTGATTTTTCACATATACCCAGATTATTTGGTACTCTGGAACTAAACTATCTAAAGACAATATAAATAAATGTGAAAATTGTTAACAAAAGTTACCTCTAGTCTGGAAGAATGGAATTCTCCCAAGTTTAAGTAATTTGTTTAGAATTCAAGTACAGCATCAAGCAACCATTTAGTTATAACACTGGCATTGATGACTTCAAGCTAAATACGTTTTTTAGGAAAATTATTCACATTTTTGCAAGATTTCATAAGTTAGATTTGGTCAGAATTTTTGTCAGTATACAGAGAATTTATATTATACATGATGTGTTAATATGAGGATTACTGTAAATATTTCAAACTAATTTGTGATTGATAATTTAAAGACAATAAGAGTGATTAGCCTACTTATTTTCTGTCTTAAAATTTTTCTAAATTAGACTGTAAGAGAGTAATTATTTCATTATTCCTCTCATTGGCTTACTCTGTAGTTTAATTCTGAGTGCTCAAAGAAGCATCCCCACAGAAACACAATAATACTGTGAGTATCCTTTTAGATAATCTGTTTCCATTTACCTAAAATACATATGAATTTTACTTCTTCGGGAAAAGTGCTTAAATGATGGTCTTAAAATGCGTAATCATTTTAACTTGTTTATTAGAACCTGTGTTTTAGCAGATTAACAGTAATGTTTGTTAATTGCTAAATATGTAAATAGTATGTTTAGGAAATAATATTTCTTCTTTTTCAGGATAACCCAAATTTGCTTTTGGAACCATGAAAATTTTGCTTGTTTTTGACTTTGACAATACAATCATAGATGATAATAGTGACACCTGGATTGTACAGTGTGCTCCAGAGAAAAAGCTTCCTATTGAACTACAAGATTCTTATGAAAAAGGATTTTGGACAGAATTTATGGGCAGAGTCTTTAAGTATTTGGGAGATGAAGGTGTAAGAGAAGATGAAATGAAAAGAGCAGTGACATCAATGCCGTTCACTCTGGGGATGGTAGAACTTTTGAACTTTATAAGGAAGAACAAGGATAAATTTGACTGCATCATTATTTCAGATTCAAATTCAGTCTTCATAGATTGGGTTTTAGAAGCTACCGGTTTTCATGATGTATTTGATAAAGTGTTTACAAATCCAGCAGCTTTTGATAGCAATGGTCATCTCACTGTGGAAAATTACCATGCTCATTCTTGCAGTAGGTGCCCAAAAAATCTTTGCAAAAACGTAGTTTTAGTAGAATTTATAGATAAACAGTCACAGCAGGGAGTGAATTATACACGAATTGTTTATATAGGTGATGGTGGAAATGATGTCTGTCCAGTAACTTTTTTAAAGAAGAGTGATGTTGCCATGCCACGGAAAGGATATACTTTACAGAAAACTCTTTCCAGGATGTCTCAAAATCTTGAACCCATGGAATCTTCTGTTGTAGTTTGGTCTTCAGGTGTTGAAATAATTTCTCACTTACAATTTCTAATAAAGGAGTAATATACGAACAATTGAAATGTGTATCAGTTAAGGTTGGGTACAGCAGCATAAAACTAAAACCTCAAATACCAGTGGCTTTAAAAGATTTTTTTTTCCCTCTCACTTAAAAAAATTTCGGAGGTAAGTATCACAAGGCTGCTGTGGTGCTCTCCCAACCTCAGCATTTGGCTCCTATCTCATGTTTCAAGATTGCTGTTCGAGCTCTGTCCCTTGCCTCAACACTGTAGCCAGCAAGAAGGGCAGTGAGTGAGAAGTTTGTACCCTTACTTTCCTTTGGCCGGAACTTAGTCACAGTGCTCCAGCCTAACTGCGAGAAAGGATGAAAAATGCATTATTCCGGATGACCATGTGCCTGGGGAAAATTGGGGAAAAGAGAAGTACAGGATTGAGGTAGGTGTGATTGGTGTCTCTACTAGTGGTGGTTGATAGATAGATTGTATTTTTAAATTTATTTCCAGAGGGAGTAAGTAGTCATATATTTTACTTTATTAGATACTTCCTTCAAAAGCATGTCCAGTAGTTACAGAACTTAAAAATAAGCCTGATGCCTTATTCCTATAAGAATAAAAGGCTCCTGGGGTGCCTGGGTGGCTCAGTCAGTTGAGCGTCCGACTTCAGCTCAGATCATGATCTCACGGTTTGTGAGTTCGAGCCCCGCATCGGGCTCTGTGCTGACAGCTCGGAGCCTGGAGCCTGCTTCCAATTCTGTGTCTCCCTCTGTCCCTCTCCCTGCATGCTCTGTCTCTTTCTCTCAAAAATAAATAAACATTAAAAAAAATAATAAAAGGCTCCCAAATGTATATAATGTCTTACTCCCAATTCAGTATTTTAAAGATAGGGATGTAGTATCTGTTGCCCAAGTTTTCATCAATCTCAGATTTTCTTTTGAAATGAAATAACGTTCTTCATATATTTTAAATTTATATCCGCATCACAGACTATAACTCCAGTATGCTGGTTTGGTCACTATGTTATTTCTATTTAGCAATTCAGTCTTTGTAGAGAGAGGCATGGGTAGCAGGCAGAGAGAAAGAGAGAGAGAGAGAGAGAATCCCAAGAAGCCTCCACTGTCAGCGCAGAACCTGATGCTGGGCTTGATCTCAAGACTATGAGATTATGACCTGAGCTGAAATCAAGAGTCAGACGCTTAACTGACTGAGCCACCCAGACACCCTGTCATTTTTATTTTTTAATTGAAGTTAACTTGATACTGTGTTGCATTAGTTTCAAGTGTACAACATAGTGGACAAGTTTATATGTCACGTATTTATAAATCAGGCTGTGCTCACCACAAGTGTAACTCCCAACTGTCCCCATGCAAGGCTTTTACAATACTGTTGACTATATTCCCTATACTAAGTATAGGGAATATATATATTCCCTTGTGACTCATCCTTGTGACTTACTCATTCCGTAACTAGAAGCCTGTATCTCCCACTCCTCTTCATCCATTTTCCCTTCCCCACCATGCCCCCGTGGCAACCATGAGTTTGTTCTCTATATTTATGGGATATTAAAGGGTCTGTTTCTGCCTTGTTTTATTTTTCAAATTCCACATGTAAGTGAAATCATATGGTATATGTCTTTCTTTATCTGACTTATTTCACTTAGCATAATACCCTCTAGGTCCATCCATGTTGTTGCAAATGGTAAGCTCTCATTCTCTTTTTTATGGCTGAGTGATATTACAGTATGTGTACACATCACATCTTTTTTTTTTTTAATGTTTATTATTTATTTTTGAGAGAGAAACAGAGTGCAAGCAGGGCAGAGGCAGAGAGAGAGGGAGACACAGAATCCAAAGCAGGCTCCAGGCTCCGAGCTGTCAGCACAGAGCCCAACACGGGGCTTGAACCCATGAACCATGAGATCATGACCTGAGCCGAAGTCGGACACTTATCCGACTGAGCCACCCAGGTGCCCCAATGTCTTCTTTGTCCATTCATCTGTTGGTGGATACTTAGGTTGCTTCCATATCTTGGCTATTATAAATAATGCTTCAATAAACATAGGGGTGCATATATCTTTTCAAATAATGTTATTGTTTTCTTTGGGTAAATACTCAGTAAGGGGAATGAATTACTGGATCATATAGTATTTATATTTTTCTTTTTAAAATAAACCTCCATACTGTTTTCCATGGTGGCTGTACCAGTTTCTATTCCCACCAGCAGTGCATGTGTGTTCCTTTTTCCCCACATCCTCACCAACACTTATTATTTCATGTCTTTCTGTTACTAGCCATTCTGACAGGTGTAAGGTGGTATTTGCTTATAGTTTTGATTTGCATTTCCCTGATGATTAGTGATGTTCATCATCTTTTCATGTGTCTCTTAGCCATCTGTATGTCTTCTTTGGAAAAATGTCTCTTCGGGTCCTCTACCCATTTTTTTTCTGCCCATTTTTTAAAAATTAGATTGTTTCTTTGGTGTTGAATTGTGTACGTTATTTATATATGTTGGAAATTAACCCCTTATTAGATATATCATTTGCAAGTATCTTCTCCCATTCAGTAGGTTGCCTTTTTGTTTTGTTGATGGTTCTCTTTGCTGTGCAAAAGCTTTTTATTTCTGTGTAGTCCTAGTAGTTTATTTTAGCTTTTGTTTCCTTTGCCTGAGGAGATATATCCAGAAAAATGTTGTGAAGGCCTATGTCAAAGCAATTCCTGCCTGACCTTTCTTCTAGGAGTTTTATGGTTTCAAGTCTCACATTTAGGTCTTTAATCCATTTTGAATTTTTTTTGTGTGTGTATGGTATAAAAAAGTGGTCTGGTGTATTATTTTGCATGTAGCTGCCCAATTTTCCCAGTACCATTTATTAAAGAGACTATGGTGTTTTCTCCATTGTATAATTTTTGCTCTTTTATTGAAGATTAATTGGGGACATAATTGTATGTTTATTTCTGGACTCCATTCTGTTCCACTGATCTATATGTCTGTTTTTGTACCAGTACCATTTGATTATTATAGTTTTGTGGTAGATCTTGAAATCTGGGATTGTGATACTTCCAGCTTTGTTCTTTCTCAAGATTAGCAATGCAGACTTGAGTGATACAATATATAATAGTATGAATACTCAGCATTTATGAGACTTTCATATGAGGATATTAGCAAAACATCAACTGCACTGAAAGTTTTGTAATTCTATGCTGATTTCTAGGCTCTCATGTTTTAGGCATAAATTTCCATTATGTAATAATAGCAAAATTGTCTTTTCATTATGGAGGGCACCAGAAATAGAGATTTTTCAATATAATTTAATGGGAAAAATTGGTACCATCTATTTTTTTCTAGGTTGAAAAGTAAATCTTTGCTTTAAATTAATAAGTTAGATTATGTCTAAGCACATTTACTTGTAAGTAATTGAGTAAAGAAATGAAATGAGATTATCTAGGATATTTAGAGCTCCCAGGGGCTTGGCAGAAGCAAATCTAAATTCCCTCAAAAGGAAATTAATATCCTAAATATGGTACCTAGACTCTAAGGTGGCCTCCCATGATCCCTGTATCCCAGTAGTCCGTGTGTGTGTGTGTGTGTGTGTGTGTGTGTGTGTGTGTGTCTTTGTCTGTGGAGGAGGTGATCTATGATTTGCTTCTAATCAATGGAATACCACAAAAATGATGCAATGTGCGTGATAATGTGGCATGATGATATTATATCAGATTGTGATGCCCATCTTGTTAAGAAATTCTCCCCTTTGATTTTAAGGAAGCAAGCTGCCATGTTGTGAACAGGACATCAGAGAGGGCCACCTGGCAAGCAATTGAAGGTGGCCTCTAGCCAAGAGCAAGAAGTAAGCCACTGGTCCAGTAGTCTGCAGGGAACTGCATGATGCAATTATGTGAGCTTGGAAGTGGATCCTTTCCTAGTGGAACCTCAGCTGAGATCACAGCTCAGGGTGACACCTCGATTTGGTTTTGTGAGACCCTGGAACAGAGCATTTTGTGGAGCTGTTTGGACTCATGACCCATAGAACGTATGAGATAATAAATATATTTTATTTAAGATGTTAAATTTGTGGTAATACTGTTATGCGGTCATAGAAAATTAACACAGTAGGCCTCAAAATAAATCTGTAAAGTACCTTATGGGATATACAATGAAAAGTAGCCATACCAAAAGACAAGAACAAACACCAGCAGAAGCTTCCATTTAAACAGATCTGCAGGACCTCTAGATGTTAGCATGTTCACACACAAGCTATAGAGTGTTTTGGCAAAGAATTAAAAATTACACAATATGGAAATACTAGAACTGAAAATTACTATGACTGAAGTTAGAGTCTTGGTGGATGAATTGACAACAGAACAGGCATATCTGAAGAGAGAATTAGTGAGCAAGCACAAGTTAGAAGAAAATATCCAGAATGGTGCAGAGAGAGACAAAACAATGAAAATACAGAAGAGAAGTTAAGAGATATGGAAGATAAATAAGGTCTAACCTAGGAAATTGGTGTCCTAGAAAGAGAGGAGAAAGAAAATGAAATATGCAGTATTTTAAGAGATAATGATGGATAACTTAAAAAAAATTTTGAAAAGATAATGATGGAGAACTTTACAAAGTTGATAAGCAACATCAAATTAAATTAAAAAGTATTTATGAACCCCAAACAGGATAAATAAAAGGAAAAACCACATGGAATCACATTGTAAAACTACTGACAATCAAAGATGGAAAAAGCATAAAATGATCAGAGAAAAAATTGACTTTGAAAGGAGCAACAATCAAACTAACAGCTGGCATTATTTCTTTCTTAAATGTTTGATACAATTCAAAATCGAAGCCATCCAGGCCTGGAGTTTTCTTTGTTGGCAGATTTTTGACTACTAATCCAGTTTCTTTAATAGATAGAGGACTATTCAGCTTATATAGTTTTTCTTGAGTAAACTTTGGTAGTTTGTTGACTATTGCTTCATAGCAAATTACCTCAAAATTTAACAGCTTAAAAATAAGCATTATCTCAGTTTCTCTGGGTCAGGAATTCAGGAGCACTCAACTGGGTTGTTGAGGATCTTTAATGGGTCAAGATGTTGGCTAAGGTTGTAGTCAGGGAAGTTGGACTAAGGCTGTAGGATCTGCTTGCAAGGTGGCTTTTGGCAGGAGGCTGCAGTTCCTCGCTGCTTGTTATCAGGAAGTCTCAATTTATTACTGGTTGCTGGCAAGAGGCCTCAATTTCCAACCACTTGGGCCTTTCCAAAGAGCTGCTTGAGTGTCCTAAAGACATGGTTTCCTGCCAAGTGAGTGACCCAAGAGAGAGGGCAGAGAGGAAACCACAATGCCTTTTTTGACCTAGTCTGAAAAATCAAACACCATCACTTCTACCTTATTCTAGGTATTAAAACAAAACACTAAGTTAAGCGCACACTCAAAGGGAGGGGGATCAGACTCCACCTTTGAAGGTGGAGTTAAAGAATGTTTGATATACTTTAAAACCACCATAGGGGCGCCTGGGTGGCGCAGTCGGTTAAGCGTCCGACTTCAGCCAGGTCACGATCTCGCGGTCCGGGAGTTCGAGCCCCGCGTCGGGCTCTGGGCTGATGGCTCAGAGCCTGGAGCCTGTTTCCGATTCTGTGTCTCCCTCTCTCTCTGCCCCTCCCCCGTTCATGCTCTGTCTCTCTCTGTTCCAAAAATAAATAAACGTTGAAAAAAAAATTTAAAACCACCATAATGTCTCTCAATGACTTTGTCCATTTCATGTAAGTTGTGAAATTTAGGGACATACAGTATTTCATAATATTCCGTTATTGGCCTTTTAGAACACGTGTATCTACTGTCTGGATTTTACCATTAACCTTTTACTCTGCTTGTTTTATCACATATCCATCCCTCTATCTAGCCATCTTTTTTTTTTTTTTTAATTTTGCCTTTTTAACATAAACACTGTTCTTCCCCCTTTGATTTTTTGTTCCCCAGTGTATCAAACCTGTGCTATCTGGATCTGATTGGAACTCAAACTATACTCACTAGATGCCAGTGGCATCTCTCCCAACAACTTGTGATACCCAAAATGTGTCTAAACATTGCCAAATATCTCCTGAGGAATTAAATAATTCTTGTTAGAGGACTACTTACTTTATGCTTAAGAGGCAGTATCTTTTATTTGTGGAGCAAGTGAGGATATAGCAATTGTACATACTAAATATTGTTACTCTTTTGTTTATTTATTTTTGTAATTTTGTAAATTTTTATTTATTTTGAGAGTGTAGGGGAGGTGCAGAGAGAGAGAGAGAGAGAGAGAGAGAGAGAGAGAGGGAAGGGAGACAGAATCTGAAGCAGGCTCTGAGCTGTCAGCCTAGAACTGACACAGGGCTTGAACTGTGAGATCATGACCTGAGCTGAAGTTGGACACTTAACCAACTGAGCCATCCAGGCTCCCCAGAAACAAAATATTAATATAGGTATTTACTAACACAGAAATTCTTAGAAATGCCCAATGTTTATGGAAAATGTTACTTGGTAAAAAAATTAGTTTGTCTTATGTACTTAAATAATATTTCATTTGTGTATCTAAAAAACTAGTAAATAATATTTATAATTAAACTAAATATTATTTACCTCATAAGATTTTTATAATCAGTGCAAAATGGAAAACTTGCTCATTCACATGTTTTTTCTACCACTCTAGTCATTTTCCGGATTGTGTTACATACCAAAACCACAATGCATTTCACAACCTGGTCCAAACAATATTTTATTATCCTCAGTTCAATATGAAAGATATTCTTTCAGATATCCATGAACAACTTAGCCCTCTCACACTTAAATCCAGAAAATGCTATTACACAATTTTGGAGGCTAAAAATACTTCATTCAACAAAAACTAATTTGGCACTTACTGTGTGCAAACAAAAACCTGTGGAAGTATAGGTTAAATTTCTTACAAAATAAGATACCCTTCCACAAATTTACAATTTGATTGAAAAGGTGGGACATATACATATATAATTCGTAATACCAAAGTATGATTCATAAAGCAACTTAATAGCATAAACTAAAAGTACTTAGGTCAAGGAAGGACTAACTGACCATGTAGCACTTTGTTTTGCACTCATTGGCTAATTCTGATGTCAGAAAAGCTTTATGAAAGAGGTACCGTGGTCCACACCTTAAAAAATGGAAAGGAGGTGAGCCTGGCTGGCTCAATCTGTAGATCATGAGACTCTTGATCTTCAGGGTCATGAGTTCGAGCCCCACGTTGGGCATCGAGATTACTTTTTAAAAATCAAATGAGGGCACCTGGGTGGCTCAGTCAGCGAAGCGTCCAACTTCGGCTCAGGTCATGATCTTGTAGTTTGTGGGTTCGAGCCCCACATCGGGCTCTGTGCTGACAGCTCAGAGCCTGGATCCTGCTTCAAATTCTGTGTCTCCTCTCTCTCTCTCTCTCTCTCTCTCTCTCTCTCTCTCTCTCTCTGCCTTTCCCCCACTCATGCTCTGTCTCTCTCTCAAAAATAAGTAAACATTAAAAAAAATTTAAAAAGTGAAACCTTTCAGACCATGCTGCAGGAGGACAGTGTCTACAGAATAAGTCATTTATGGAATTTCGTAAAGAACTATGGGCCCTTGAGCAAGTTTTTAAACAAAATTCTGGAAGTCTTCCTTTTAATCCATTCATGTTTTCATTTATACAACAAATATTTATTGAGCACGTGTTACATGCGGACATTGTTCTCGGATTACAGAAACGAACTGGAGATATAACTATGAACAAAACAGGCAAAAATCAGTGCTTTTCTGGAGCTTATATTATAGTGGGAGAAATCACACAATAATCTGATAAATAAGCAAATAAATATATAGTATACGGTAATAGGTACTACGGATTAAAATAAAGCAGATAAGGGGAATAAGGAATAGCATGTGGAATAGGGAGACAATTTTAAATAGGTTGGTAGAAGAAGGCCTCACTGGGAAGTTGATATTTGAGTAAAAACCTGATGGAAGTGAGCAAGCAGGTTACATGGTGGTAACTGGGAAAAGCAGTTGTAGGCAAAAGAAATAGCTACCAGTGAGGCCCTGAAGCAATGATGTTCCTAGTGAAGGCAGAAGGCACAGCTGGGCATGGGGGTCCAGGAGGCCAGTATAAGTAATTAGGCTTTTACTAAATGAGACAGAGAGTCTTTGGAGAGCTTTAATCTCTGATTTACTTAGGAGTATCAGTCTGTCTTGGTTTACTTGAGCCAATACTCTTACTCTTTTTTTTTTTTTTTTTTTTTTTGGTTATAAGAATTGGGTTTCTGCTGCTTGTAATTGAAAATTTTTCTAGTTTATTTTTCTGTCCTGTGTTAATTGTATCTGGAATTTAGCTTTAACTGTGGCACCCAAAAACATATTCCCAATAAGCTGCTATCTTGTAAGTGACCCTCTCCCACACAGTAGTAGACTAGTTCCTGTTTTGAAGCGAGACCTGTGGTCTTTCATAAGTTTTTTGCACAAGTACCCCCCCAAACAACTGAAAAACTATACGCACTTCCACGTTTTCAGGTTGATATTGAAAAGTTTTCATCATAAGCTTAAATATTTGCCAAGGTTGTCATTTCTAACATATTGTAAAGAATGACTTTTTTTAAATGTTATTTTTTATTTTTTACTTTTGAGACAGAGAGAGACAGAGCATGAACAGGGGAGGGGCAGAGAGAGAGGGAGAAACAGAATCGGAAATGGGCTCCAGGCTCTGAGCTGTCAGCGCAGAGCCCGACGCGGGGCTCGAACTCACGGACCGAGAGATCATGACCTGAGCCGAAGTCGAACGCTTAACCAACTGAGCCACCCAGGCACCCCAAGAATGACTTTAAAAAAAAAAAAGATTTTATTTTTATGTAATCTCTACAACCAACATGGGGCTCAGATCCACAACCCCGAGATCAAGTCACATGCTGTACCTACTAAGCCAGCCAGGTGCCCCAAGAATGACTTTTTAATAGGTGGTTACATAACTTTTAAATCTATTTAATAAAAACTGCCTATATTAATTTGAAATTTACCATCATTCATTTAAAAATACATAAACAGAGGCCCCTGGGAGGCTCAGTCGATTAAGAGTCTGACTTCAGCTCAGGTCATGATCTCATGGTTCATTGGTTCGAGTCCCACATTGGGCTCTGTGCTGATAGCTCAGAGCCTGGAGCCTGCCTCAGATTCTGTGTCTCCCTCTCTCTCTGCCCCTCCCCGACTCACGCTCTGTCTCTGTCTCTCAAAAATAAATAAACATTAAAACATTTTTTTAATTTAAAAATACATAAGTTCTTTAACAGTGAAAATTCGTTTTCTTTTTCTTTTTAAATCTGAGTATAGTTGACACACAATGTTGCGTTAGTTTCAGGTGTACAACATAGTGATTGGACAGGTTTATACAAATGTATACATTATGCTATGCTCACCACAAATGTAACTACCATCTGTCACCACACAACCCTATTACAATACCATTGACTCGATTCCCTGTACCTTTTATTCAACAGTGGGAAATTTTTAATCTCATTCTTTTTTTCTTCTTGAGGCCATATTTCTGTTCCACTTTCCCCAGAAAATTGTTGTCCTACTGAAAATAAAGGCAGTCCTCATTTTACACAGTGGTGCAGGACCTAAAAATGTGCCAGATTACTGGGCAAAGTAATATTAATAATTAGTGGGAAAAATTTTAATTGTGACCTTAAAATATTCTTTTGTAAGAACATTAAAAACTGCGTTACTGTCAGTTACAAATATATAGGAAAATGAAAAACATAGTAAGATCAGTATTTACTTCGTACAGTGCAATTAGAAATATTGAGAATTAAAGTATTTCTTTGTAGAAAATATTATCTTGAGTAGTTTCAACAGTTCTTGCTTTCTTTTGTCATATAACTTAGAATACAGAGAGACCATCTTTCTATGCCCTAGTGAATTGTCATACTTTTTTCTAAGTTTGGATCAGTTTCCAACATTTTATCCTTTGCCTTGTCAGCATTATGAAGAATCTCCACGAGTTCCTGTAATATGAAGTTTTTTGCCAACATCACTTCTGGGACATCCTCATTCCTTTTGTCAACAACCGCTTTCCTCACTTAAGTCCCTAAGTTTGCCTGCAGCAATTTCCACTGACTGTATATCTAGACTCTCTCGGATGGTGGCAGTGTTAACATACCCTTGGTCAGCTGTTTCTTCTAGTACTTCATTATGTTCTATTCAAATTTCACGTGTGGCATTATCCTTTTCAACTATTTGCTGAGTTTTCATTTTTATTAGCCAATGTCCTCTTTCAGTGATCTATTTTTGTAAAATAATACATTTGTCACTGGCAGATAACGAGGTAAAACAACCACAGGCTTTGCCGTCTGTGTGTCTTTGCTGCTTGAACTGAATAACAGATGCACAGTGACCAATCACCAACGACTTTGAAAGAAGAAATATGATTGGTCACTGATAATGATGCTCATCTGTTATTCATATAGTGACTTGTAGATTGAGGAGCTGGGGGCGAAATTTGTATTTTGTGCAGTTACAGTTAATATACCACAGTGATTGAAATTTGAACCCTGTTTAGGGGATTGGTGTTATTTAAGCATGGTAAGTGAAATTCATGCATGTTGGGTCCATTTAAATAAAGAATTGTCTGTATATTTTTATACTTGAAATTTTTTTTTATTAATCACCTCTTAAATTTGCAACAAAAACGTACATAAATTAAAATTTAAAGTATTTTATGTCTGGATTCTTAAGTAGAAAAAAAAATATGGGCTGTTTAACATTACAATTATTATAATTGATCAAACAACATAAATGTGTTTAAATTAAAAGTAAAAATTTCAAAAATTATTTCAGTCTGATGAATTGGGCTATTTTCTTTTCATTAGACCATATATCATTGACTAAGTATTGCTTACTGTTGGAATGAGACAGAGTTTAGAATCAATGACATCCTTGTTTTTCATTTCTGCAGATAAAATCCCTGAGCAAATGTGTTCACACAGACAAACAGATGGAAATGAGAGGAATTTTATTATAGCAGTGCCACTCATTTTGTGGATTCTTTCCAAGTTATTTGTCAAAAATGCTCTTTGACATTTGCTAAAAACAAGGAATTTGAAAACTTCTGACTTGTGAAAGTAGTTGTTACCCAGTCATTAGAATGTTCACTCTCTTACTTTCCAGGAGGCCTACCAAAAAGGCTTTGCCAGATTTATCAGCTTCTGGGCAGCCAATTACACACCTGTGTTGATTGTGTAGGTACAACTCCTAAGGACAGTGTTCACATTGCACTCTACTTGAGGGGGATGAGCTGGAATCGGTCAGTGCACAACTTTCACAGCTGTATGTGGTGGCCTTATAAATTATGCCTACTAAGTAAGCGTCCGACTTCAGCTCAGGTCACGATCTCGTGGTCCGTGAGTTCAAGCCCCGCGTCGGGCTCTGGGCTGATGGCTCAGAGCCTGGAGCTTGCTTCTGATTCTGTGTCTCCCTCTCTCTCTGCCCCTCCCCCGTTCATGCTCTGTCTCTCTCTGTCTCAAAAATAAATAAAAAACGTTAAAAATTAAAAAAAAAATAAATTATACCTACTATTTACTTAGCAACTTATTTAATCCAGTATGTAAATGAAGTATGCAAAATTTCCTGTATATATCCATCATTTATACACATTGATAATGATATCACAATTAGCATATCAAACATTTAATGACATAGCAGTATTTGGTGGAAAGATGTACTAATATGGTAAAAACAAAATAGTTATTTTTAGAAACCAAGAGTCTTTTAGAAAGTGAAGTGTGATGTCAAAAGGCATCCAACTCCATGCCAAGCTCAATATCTGCCAAGAGTCATTTATATCTCATCTCCATGGTGGCTCTTTATTTCCTGAAGACTTGAATTCACAGATGGCACATTTGTTTCCTCGAACAGTGTCATTAGTTTATTTAATTTATGAATGCTAATTATATGTTTCTGAGTGCATCAGATCTATTAGCATTGCAGTGGTCTCTTTGATAAAGCATGTGGTAAAGAGGAACTGCTCTGGCAGTAGCCTACAGGACCTGTTCTTCCCTTGGCAAGTTGAGGCAGTCTAACATATACTAAGATACACTGTGTTTGGCCTTTTTAAAAAATGAGATATAATTGACATGTAACTGATATACACTGTTAAGCAGTAATTCATAACCAGTGAATATCAGGCAATGGAAGCAAGACTTTAGTTGGCCTATACAGCAATCTGAATAACTGCACAAATGACAATACAGTGAATTCTATTATTCAAGAATCATTTATCACATGACATTATGATTCTGGAAGCCCCTACTCCTTGCCTGGGTGGCTCAGTCGGTTGGGTGTCAGACTTTGGCTCCTGTTTTGAACTTGCAATTCGTGAGTTTGAGCCCCTTGCAGCTGTGCTGACAGCTCAGAGCCTGGAGCCTGCTTCAGATGCTGTGTCTCCCTCACTCTGCCCCTCCCCCCCCCCTCAAAAATAAATAAACATTAAAAAATGTAGAAGCCCCTACTCTTAGTTAGGTGGAGTCTGTAATATTTTCTATGCATCAAACTTGGCCTCAGAGCCACAAACTTCAGGACAAATATGGAAAGAATGCCCCCTCTTCAATCAGTCACAATAACACCAAGAATAACATCACTATCAGTTGTGAAGGACAAGCTGTCTATAATTACAATTTACTATAAAGTTCATAATTTTTTGAAGAAATGTTTACAATTACAAATTTCCAAATTGAGGTTTTGATGGAGAATTAAGTGTAAATACCCTTTCATTATAATAGCTTTCATATGTAACATTTTTATGCCACATCCTATGCACTCTCACATTTGTAATTTTATTTTATCCTTCCAATAATGTTATGTTGAGAAAATATTGGCATTTTCTGTTTTACATATCAGAAAACTAAGGATCAGAGAAATTTTGGTACTTCCTTAAGGCTATATGTTATAAAAGTGGCAGAGATGAAACTTCAGCCTGAAACAAAAATCTCATATACTTTTCCTCTCTACCAAACTGTTTACCTGAGGTTGAAATAGTGAACCTTTTGTTTTTCTTCCATTTTGGGTCCAACATCCATTCTTCTAACTTTGCAAAAGAATCACCTGATGCCCTTGTTAGAATACAGATTCCTAGGTCTCCACCCCAGAGACCTGGTGGTGTTTGTGGGATGCTGCATAACTATGATCCCACATAATTCAGTTGAGACTGACCTGCAGAATTAAACTAAAACCACCCAAACGAGAACAAGCAGATGCTACTTATTCAGACTTTGCTATAGCAACAGAGTAAGCCCCCATTACTTGTCTTTGGGACAGGCTCAAAGACAGGCAGGGGAGTGGGAAAGCTTTATAAAACTGAAAAAAAGGGGGAAGGTATGTTCGGATTGGAGGTTGTTGGCCTGAGAAAGCTAGAGGCAGGCTACTAGAGGCAAGGGGTGTTTTATGTGATTGGTTTGGGGAGCAGTAGGCTTTCTCTGGTTGCTCCTGAGTTGGAAGTCCAGCAAAAAGAGGGACCTTGGCAGCCCTTGAGGATGTCCTAACTGTTGTGGTCCAGATGCAGAGGTTATGGTTTGGCTTCCTGAGCTTCTTACGTGGTTCAGAGTTGTGTTGTCATACATAGTTTGGCCATTGTCCATTTGTATATTCTGTCTCTCAGACCATACTTTGAGAAACACACTGGGCCTCTGATGTTCATTTCATCGTGGTCCCTTTCCTCCCTTAACATGGCTAGACTGTCAGCTCCCTAAGAGCTCTAATTACCAGTGCCTAGACCTATCAGACACTCAATAAAAACTTGCAAATGAATGGATGGATGCCGTCTGTGTAGCACATGGACGTCTTTATATGACTGGACTTGCTGTCATCAGGAAGAAAGACTGGAGGCTGCTTCTTCAGCTACTTAAATATGTGAACTTGAATCCTTGACCCTGGCTGCTCTCAATTTATCTTAAAGCTTCCAGGTTAGTCTGTAGTGTGCAAATCAGCCCCAGGGGCTCCCTCCTGAGTTGAGTGCTCCGCTGGGGGCGGGATGATGTTGGTGGGAAAGCGACACTTATTCTGGCATTCTGAAGGCAACCTCAGCCCCAGACCTTTAAGGTTTGCTGCACACTTTCCCC